CTTAGCCATTTTCTGTAACCATAAGCCATATCTGAGTCCCCTGAGCCAACCTTGCACGCTGAGCCTTGCCTACGCCCACTACCTTGTGCCCATGTCCCTAACTTGACTATGCCACACGTCCATGACTTGTGTGGTCCATACTTTAAGCAACATCTGAGCCAACCTTGTGAACCTACCCCATGCCAAGCCCACTAATCTGCACCCACATATAAATGTCTCAAAGTGCACGACATCCAAATCGAATGCCGTCTGCGCCAACCATCTTCTATGGATTCAAGGTACCTCCCACAAAGATCTCGAGCCAAAACTCCAAACTTCACGTTTTCGTCATATTTACGAAAATGCCACTGGACATCTCAGTGCATGTTAACAGCATCTCATGGCTATCAGGGGGCTTGTCAAGCTCCCAATCTCGTAACAGTTGTCCTGTTCAACACATGAATCTAAGGAAGAAGGTCGTAATAATTCATCTTTCAAAAAAAAAAAAAAGGTCGTAATAATTCAAAAAGGGAAAATAAATTTATAAAGAACAAACACTTTGGAATAGCCATCAATTTGTTGAAAGAGACCGAGAAGACTTGGGGAGGACTTGTATAGTTCTATTCCATACATGGACTCTTGTGAAGTACTATTTATTATATGTATTTATTTATTTATTGATGGTGATGATGATGATTCGTCGAATTCTAATATCAATATCATTATTGTGGAGGTAGGTCCACCACTTTCTTTTTAAGGGAGAAAGAAGAAAACTTGTCTAAAAAACAGGGCGATAAGAAAATGTCGATGATCGAAGTGCATGTAGTGGAAGTACTGGAATCGATTCAAGCCGACTACATTCGTTTACAAGCGGGACCTTTAGTAGCGGAAGGGTAGAGATGGTAGCCGGTAGATTAGAAAATTTGTTTCTGCTAAGCTAAAAAATTACTTATAATTTCTTCTATTATTCATTCTTTGAGTAAATTATCCTATAATCATCAACTTTGACCAATTTTTTTTATAAAAATCTCAAAATACCCTCTGCTGATGTAAGCAAGCATTTTATTTTATTTTTTCTGTCTATCACTTCTCTCTCTTCAAAAAAAGTCTCTGTCCATTAATCATATTTTGTCTCACTCTAATGATCTTCATCATGGACAAAGCAAGAGTTACTTAAAGCAGTAATGAAAGTTGTTTTGTCTACATCTTCAAATCCATGATTTCATTGTGCACTATAATCAATTCAGAGTTGGGTTTGCTTTTATTTATTTATTTTTTATTTTTTTATTTTTATTTTTTATCCTTCCTCCTTCCTCTTCCCTTTTTTTCTTCCCAGAAGAATCCGCAGTAATCACACATCAATTTTTATGAATAAAAGTGTAAGTCTTCAAATTTACCTATATATTAAAGACACCCAACAGCTTGTACCACATCCGCCATAAATTCTTGATCGATTGTCGAACCGCATACGGTGAGGATCCACGATGCGATGTTCACGACTGTGTAGGGATCGGGACTGGATTTTCCGGCGGAGCACGGGACGAGGACGCCGTGATGGGCAGCTCCGAACACTCCGATTGCGATGGAGTTGTGATCGTACTGAGGAGCGTATCCATTGTCTCTGACAGATAGAGAAATTACATGGCGAATGATGGTGGCGCAACTGGTGGTTGTGGGGTGGAATGGTGGCACAACAGCTTGTGGTTATGGAAAATGAATCAATAATTTTGTCCTCTAAAACTTATTTTTAGAATATTTTATAAATAAGTAAATTTTTTTTTTTTTTTAACCAAAATGCCATCAAATAGACATTTATTAGTAATTAAGTATTAAAGTTAGTCACTATCCATCTTTTTTTTATTTTAATCATACGTTTTAATAATTTTCTTTTCGTTTGGTCACCAATATCTTATAAGTTTATTCTCTTCTCTTTTATTCAAGAAAATAAAAAGAAAGAAATGCACAATCTCTTTTAGAGTGATATTTCATTTATCTCTTCTTCTCACTTCCATCTAATTTTTTTATTTTTTACCGAACAAAACATCAGTGGTCCTTCCATCCAAAAATTGGGATTTTCTCTTAGGGGGCTGGGTGTGGGATGGATTTGGAGGAGGAGGAGGTGTTGGTAGCTTGGAGGAACTCATTCCATAAGAAAACTGAAATACACTGGCATTTTACTCTAAGCATACATGTTCAAAATATCATTAATAAACTCTGGTGGAGGACTAAATGCTTAGTGTGGCGCTATATCTCATATGGAAGAGATTAAAGCAGAAAGTTTGTTGAGCTCGGAAGACCAATGAAGTACTTGAAACAAACCAGAGAGCATAAATGAACTTACAAGAAACAAAAATTAAATCCCTGGATAAAAGCATCATCATAAATTATGAAAAACAAATGCTTACGAAATAAGGAAATGGAAAGAGATGAATATCATCTTAATTGAAAAAATGGAAATTGGAATGGAGATGGAGACAGGCTAGTGGCATCCTTGGTGATAGAATAAAACAAACAGGTTAAAAGGTTAAAAATTATGGGACGGTCATTATTACTCATTAGGCCAACTATCTTACACGAGGCACAGAGTGTTAGACATTAAAAAAAAAAAAAAAAAAAAAAAAAAAAAAAAAAAAACACAACACGTTCATGTAACTAAAATAGTTGAAATAAATGATAAACGTGACAAAAAAGAAATTTGCGAATCAAAGTATGAGGAAGAGACTAGGAATAGTGTTTGCTAGTGACAAAAGATAAAACAGGCTTAGATGATGTAGATACAACGCAGACATGTTAATGTCCCCCCAAAAAAGGAAAAAAACAAAAGATAAAACAGGCTTAGATGATGTAGATACAACGTAGACATGTTAATGTCCCCCCAAAAAAGGAAAAAAACAAAAAGAAAAATAATGATGGGTGGGGAAGGGTGAATTCTCTCAAACTCACATCCCCATGCTTATGAGTCCAAGCTTTCACCATTGCACCAATCGATGGACCCCTAATATTAATGCCAAAGGTTAGTTATGTCTCAATCTTCCATTTTGAATCTTAGCATAACATGTTTGTGGGACCAACACTGGTTAATAACCCATTTCAAAATGGGAGGTGGGTCCACTTGGACCAAGGTGTGGAGGGAATTGAAATCAGATTTTGGCCCTCATTTCTATCCTCTAATCCTGCCTCTCTTTTTCTCTATGCATCTCTCTTGTTTCTCTCTATATCAAGCGTGCACACACTTCAAATTTCTAGTGAGATTTGAGACTCGAGCAAGGAGGAAAGTTCATTCTACTCATCAAGAGCTTCATCCTAGTTCCAATCTTGAAGGCATTGAGGCATTTCAAATTTTTGAGGAGTTACGATTTGATCATCTTTGAGGTACGATTTTGTATATGTTGTGAAATCATAAGCCCTTGTAAGTGAATTAGTGTTTTCTCTTTTGTTCAAGTACGGTTTCCATGATATTATTTGCTTGAATTGGCTTATATGGTTTATTGAGCAATGATTTCTTGTTTCAGTGTTGATTAATGTAAAATTTTATGCCTATTATGTGATTAATATGTGATGCTCATGTTGTCTTAGTCGCTACTTGATGAATTCCATGATTCATATGATTACTAGAAGACTGCAAGTCATCTTGCCATGAAATTAAGCTACAATATGTCAAGCATGCCTAGTGTATTATAAATTGCTTATATAAACTTTTACCTTTATGAATAATATTCAATGCCATAATTAGTGTACATTGAATTTTTCTTCAATTTATATTTGTTTAACCGAACCAGATTTGAATCAAATTCGAATCAAAATTTAAGAATGCAGTGGCGCATTGACAAACACGACTATTGTTGGGCCCAAATCTGAAGCTCAAGACCCCATATATTTCGATGAGGAAAACAAAAAAAAAAAAATCAAATACTTGGACCTTCACTTATTTATATTGTGCATGAATAACTAATTGTGGTTTAAATAACTCGCTACAACGAATTCCTACTAGTATCACCAAATTAATGATGGACGCTAGAAAAAAAATGCTAACTTGGAGAGACCGAACAACTCGTTGTGCAGAGGATTTTGAATCTTTGATCTTATATTTCCACTCTTTCTCCTCTAGAACACCCCAAAGCAAGTGACCAGTGAAGAAAGTATGCGCGTACGTGGTGTAACCGGTGGTTGTTGTGTTGGTGCGGCGGTCGGTGGTGAGAGAACATCGGCCATCTGTGAGGCGAAGAAAACAGAGACCAGAGGAGAGAGTTTAGAAACTGTATTGATCTATGTGGCCTTGCAAGAGCTTGTCGATGAAGTTCCATCCCCGAACGCGCGCGGCTATTGAGAGGTGTCGATGTGTTGGCCCTCACCGGAGTTGTCTGGGCTAGAAGGTGGAGACGCTTGCCAGTGACTTGGCTATGAGCACGGTCTGGCACGCGTAAGAGGCGCGTGTTGACCGGCGTCTGGTTCGCAATCGTTGCTGATGAGTAAGGGATGAAAATGCCGTTTTGGTGGTCGGCGACAAGGACTGATGATGCCAAGGAAAAGAATCTGCGAGACTGGAAAGCAAGGGACTAAACCGGCAGAGGAGAACAGAACTCCGGCGAAGCTGATCGGAAATTGCAGGTTGTCCATGCTGTGGATGCAGATACAGAACCAGATGCGTTCTTTAACGGGAAAAAAAAAAAAAGAACGAGATGCGTGTGGGCGCGTCTAAGCGCGTTAGATCTACGCGCATAAATGTCAGTAGAGCGTGGGGTCGTGTACGGCGGAGTTTTGGGCTGAGGTTTTTGCAGCGCTATGTTCGTAATGAGAATGCCATTATGGTGATGATATTTTGAGGTTTGGGCGGATTTGGAATGGGTAGTAACCCATTCTCAACTCACCAATAATGGGGTCATAAATAAATAAAGGTTTAACTGAACAGGTCAAAACGAGTTAAGTCATAAATAAATAAGGGTTTAAATGAATTGGTCAAAACAGGTTAACCCATTCTAATCATTTACCATCCATGGCTAAAAACCTATAAAGGACGGACACTTCTTCCAGGGATCCCATACCCGTGTAGGATACTTTTCGGATACTGACACTCGTGTCCGAAGGTCGGATACGTGTCTGATACTTCTGTAAAGTGTCCAAATATTATTTTTTATTGGACATGCGTGTCCGAGGCTCAGACACACGGTCAGATACTTCTGTAAAGTGTCACTCCTCTCAATCTCTCCGCTTCTTCAATTATCTCTCTTCATGAACAAGATATATATATATATATATATATATATATATATATATATATTTAAGTTATATGAACAAAACTTTGTGAAAGACTAAAAGTATATATGTTTATTCATATGCATATTTAGTTCATTATAGTTATGTCTCTTCTGCACATCTTCGTTTGGAATTTGGATCAACTTTATTTTTTATTTATTTTCTGTTTTGTCTTGTCTATATTTTTCTTATAACAGAGATGAAATTATTGAAATTGATTCTGTTCTTTGTTGTTGTTTTATTTTTCTGTACAAGATTCTAGTAATTATATTTTGAATATATATATATATATATATAATTTTATAGGCGTATCCCCGCCGTCTCCGTGTCCTATTTTTTTAAAATTTGCCGTGTCGTGTCGTACCCGTATCCCGTATCCGTGTCCGTGCTTCATAGCTAAAAACAAAATTTAATAATTTGTTTTTTACATTAATTTTTTGATTTTAAGCATTACAATTTTTTTTTTTCCTTTTTTTTTCCTTTGGTCATTATGCAACTTAATCAACAATATTAATTAATTTTTTGATTTCAAGAGTTACAATTTTTTTTTTAAAAAAAAATTATTTTTGAAAAAGTCAATATACAATTTATTCAACAATATTAATTACATATTTTTTTTAAAAAAAAAAGGAGTTTTGAGTAAGAGTTTTAATTAATTTTTTGTCATTTATTTTATAAAAAAAAATTGGAGGAAGAGTGAAGAGAGAGAGAGAATTATCACAAAAAAAGAAAAAAAAAAAAAAAAAACAGAAAAAGGAGAGGAGAGAGTGAAAGGGAGGAGAGAGAAAAGAAAAAAAAATAGGGAGGAGAGAAATGAAGAGAAAAAAGATAGGGTTTTGTTTGAGTGGGTTATGAACTTAAGATGGGTTCCCACTCTTATCTCATTTTTGATCATTGAATTGTATGGGTATATACTCACTTTTTATCCATTGTTGCCAACTCACTTAATTTTGGGTGCCCAAATGATTTAATTTCAGTGGGCGGGTTTGGGGGGTTTAACGGGTTTGGGCTTAAATTGCCACCCCTACAAAAGCTCTAGGACGCGATTTCAGCATTGAAAAGTGATACAGAATCCGTGATGGAGGTCAGGCACGATGGTGAAGAGTGCTCAAGATGGAGTCGGTTGTGTTGCCCAGAAAACTGATTCAGCATTGGCAAGTTTGGCACGTGATAAAAGTGCAGATGCGTGGGTAAAGTTGGGCCAAATAGAAGAGAAAATGAAAATAGTGAGAACTAAGGTTTCAAAACTTTAGCTAGATGCGAAGATTTGAGGCCTTGAGGTGGGTGGCGAAACGGTAGCGTGGGTTTGATGGATGACCTTGGATTGCAGCCAGAGGCTTATGTCGTCATCTCCGTGGTAAGAGGTTTTGACGCCTACGCTCTATCTTCCTTACATGCCGATGGATCAAAATCAGTAAGCAATTTAACGGACCGTAAAAGAATACAATGAATTATAAGGCTCTAAACAAAAGAATACGCTACGCGAAAGTCGATATACGAAAGATATAAAAGAATACACTACGCGAAAGTCAATATACGAAAGATCCATAGAAACATTTGAACCTCTGATACCAACTGTGATACTCAAAATTGGGGATATCAAAACAATTAAGGTAGTAAACGAACGCATAATACAAATGGATAAATAAAGAATAAATAAATAATGAAAGAAAAACTAAAATAATAATTAAATAAAAAATCAATAAAATCCAATAATTTAATAGCTCCTTTAATATCAATAATCCTCCAAAATACAACTCGGGAATCCATCCCATGTGGACCCCTAATAAAATCCCAACTGAAATGAATAAAAATAATAACTGTCTAAATCTAAATACTGAAAATAAAATATAGAATCCTACATAGATGACTGAAAGAGTGATGATATTTGGTCTCTACTCTGCACGAACACAAGCTATGTCTGGAATTGACGCGAACCTGAAAAATAAATAGTGGGTCAGACTCACAAACAGTGACCGACCTAGGAATTTTGTTGAGGGGGGCGCCGTTGAAGAATAAATAAAATTGAAAACAAATATTTTTAAAGTAATATAATAAATATAAGAATTTTAAAAAAATTAGTGGGGTGACAATGTGAAATAGAGTATTTTAAAACTTTGAGTTGGGGTATTTTTTAAATTTTAATTGAAATTATAGGTAATAATGAAAATTGAAAAAAATTGAGTGGGGCATTTTTTGTAATTTTAGTTGAAACTATAGGTAATAATGTAAATTAAAACAAAATTCAGTGGGGGCATTTTTAAAATTTTAATTGAAACAATAGGTAATAATGTAAATTTGAAAAAATTCATTAGGGGATCCGCTCCCCACTGAGGCCAGTGGGTCCGTGCCTAATTCTTTCTACTTATAACTTTGTAGACCTAATAAAAGACTTAGGACTTGAAAGTCTATCAAAAGAAGCCTTAAAAATCATAATAACAGTCGAAGACTGGATCATCAAAATTCATAAAAAAAAACTCCGTTATAGTAAGAGCTTAAATAGCGGCATGGAATATCCCTCCTGCAACAGGTAGATTTTTAAAACAATCTATACAGAGAGGCCAAAATAGGAGAAATGAGAAAGAGATGTCCGTGTGCAAGAAGAGCAGCTGGACACAACGGTAATATATGTTACCCTAATATATATAACCGTAATATGACAATAATATTATATTAACACTTGGAGTGCCTTTATCCACAATATTAATCTTAATCTGTATCTTAGACCGACATTCCTTGTGGAGCTATTAGAAACGCTTTTTCCTTATTTCCTTGTGCATTGGTTTTAAGTTGATTCAATCATTTTTCATGGCTTACGCAATTAACCAAGTCAGCATCATTCCAAGGTGTAAATATCAAGAGTTGGACTCCCACGCGGCCAAGCAGACACAACACAATCACAAATAGCTAACTGCAGTGACAAACATGATGGATCGAATCATATATAAGGCTGCTGCGGAGGGAAATATTGATGTCCTGATCACACAAAATGCTGATCAACTTGAAGGCCAAGTGACCCCCCAAAAGAACACAGTCCTCCATGTCGCGGCTCAGTTCGGCCAAACGGATTGTGTGAAAGTGATCTTAGACAAGTGTGGCCAATCACTGCTTTGTTCGGTAAATAACAAAGGTGACAGTTCACTTCACATTTCGTCCAGGGATGGATATGCCGACGTAGTATGGGAACTTATTAAGTATGCGAAAAAAGACATGGATCCTGAAAGCCGGACTAGAACTACCAAGAAGATGCTGAGGTTGAGAAATGTGGAGGGTGACACGGCCTTGCACGAGGCTGTGCGAAATGAAAACAATGTTGATGTGGTTGAGATTTTGACAAGAGAAGACTCCAAGTTTGAACATCCACCCAATAACGCCGAGGAGACTCCCCTTTTCCTGGCGGCGGAGAGAGGTAATTCAATGATTGTGTCCAAATTCTTGGAGAATTGCAGATCACCAACTTACAGTGGCCCAAATGGAAGGACAGCTTTACACGCAGCAACAATTCATGGTTACAAAGGTACCTAATTACTAAATATATCTTTCCTCATCATCTGTTTAAATTTTGTAGCTTCTAGAAGAGATATATATATATATATATTAAATTAATTTTCAGGTAAGCATTCACATTTTATCATGCCAACTATAAAAATAAAAAAATTAATCAAAATAAAAATTAAAAAGTTTGAATGCTACTTGTTTTAACGTTTTACTGTTGTATAATTCTTGGTTTTTAATTCGTAGAACCTGTTATATAACATTGTCTTTCAGAATGCGTAAAAATTTTATACCTCTTGAAGCCGTCACTAACCAAGGAAGCAGATGTATATGGATGGAGACCACTCCACTATGCTGCGTGGATAAGAAATCCGTCAATGGTTAGACAACTACTTGATTTGGATGAATCGGTGGCGTACCTTGTTGCAGATGAAGATGACAACAAGACATCTCTTCATATAGCAGTGAGTCGAGGTAATGTAAAAATCATGAACGAAATATTATCACGCTGTCCAGATTGCTGGGAAATGATTAACACTAGAGCCCAGAATATCCTTCACATTGCAGTGGAGCATGATGAGCAGGAAACAATCAAATTTATCTTAGAAAATTCATTTGGCAAAAAGCTTATAAATCAGAAAGACACAGATGGAAACACACCTTTTCACATTGCTGCTGCTAATCATTCCATCTACTGGAAGTATTGGGAGCTTTTTTCCCATCTCGGTGATAAAAAGGCCTGCAACAAGAAAAACTTGATGGTAAAAGAAACACGTGACCGACGGCTCCGGGTAGGGATGCATACTTATCTACCTTGTCTATTGTGAAATTTTTTTGCTTGCATGCCATATATACAATAAAAAAGAACTTTAGGAATTTTTTATCATGTTATTAAAAAAGATAATGTTCCTAATAATTTTGTGGGCAACCAGGTGTATTTATGGCTCTCTTATTATTTAGACATCATAAAGTAGAGAATGCTAGTATTTAAAAACATTTAGCAACTTTTTATTCATGTAAATTACTGTTGAAGTGGTATGTACTATTATGTAGAAAATTTGATCAGGTATATAAAGAAAAATTAGAAAATAAAAATAAAAATACAAAATAGAGCAGGTCTGCTCAGGCAATTGTGTGACTTTCCAACCTATGGGGTCTAGTGCGGCATGTAGCATTACTCATAAATAAATAATGCATGATAGTTAGACTTGTCAATGAATTTGATTTTGATCCTAATCACGATTATTCAAATATAAATTGAAAAAAAAAATCCAATAATGATCTGAATCTGATAATCTATTATCTTAACAAATCGGATATAAATTATAAGTAATTCGATCCGATAATGATCCAATTAAAATTATATATGTACATATATTTATTATTACATTATAATATAGTACTATATATGAATTATATATATATATATATATATATATATATATATTAATTATTTATTACTATATTCATTTGGTTGCATAGTTATATTATGCACCATCCTATAAATTAATTATCCTCCATTCTATCTAACCTTATAACTATACATGTTAGTGAATATGATTTTAATCCGAATCTGAATCCGAGCCAAATAGGAGATGGATTGAAACATTCAATCCGATAATCCGTTAGCGATTCGAATCTAATAATTCGTTAGCTTAGCAAATCGAATATGGATTTGATCGATCCGATTCGGATCCAATTCATTGACAGGTCTAACGATACTGCTCATCTCATCATATACTTATATGCTAGGTTTGTCTCTTCAAGAACTATGAGCAATTAACTAGAGAAAATGACACATGGAGTTAGTTTTATTAAACATATGTATACTCTCTCACACACACACATGGAGGCATTGCCCCCAAATTCTGGTATTCAATATCACTGCTATTTTTAAACTGATGATCAAAGAACAAAAATGCAGGAGGCACCAGAAGGTTCACGAAACAAATTCGAAGTACCTAAAAAAGAGGAAGCTCAGAAGAGAGAAAATAAAAAAAAAAAAGAATTCACGAAACTTGGGGACACGGCATTGATAGTGGCTGGGCTTATAGCAACGGTAACATTTACAGCTGGTTTCACGGTGCCAGGTGGATTTGAAAGTGACGATGGAGTAAACAAAGGCATGGCAGTATTAGGAAGACGGACAGCTTTCATAGCATTTGCTTTGACCGATACTATTGCTATGCTCTTATCCATTATTGCAGTATTTCTCCTCTTAATTTCATTCACTTATACTTATAATCATGATGAGGACGAGCGTATAAAGCGCCAAGTCTGGGCTTTTTGGCTCATTACGGCTGCCATGGGAGCAATGGTGGTTGCATTCATGACTGGTTTTTATGCTACATTGGAACCTTCATTAGGCCTTTCAATCACTATATGCCTCATTTGTTTCGTCTTCTTTCCTATTTCTTTCTTTGTATTTTGGAAGAGAATCAATGAGGGTATAGATATAGACCTAAGAGCAACATAAATTGTAGTGGAACTGTATTCACTGCTTCGGCAATATGTACCCCCAAAATGGTTTTATTGAATATATAACCGTCTTTCTCCCACACAAGCATATGGAGGTATTGCCCCCAAATTCTGGTATTCAATATCACTGCTATTTTTAAACTGATGATCAAAGAACAAAAATGCAGGCACCAGAAGGTTCCCGAAACAAATTCAAAGTACCTAAAAAAAAAGAGGAAGCTCCGAAGATACAAAATGAATTTATAGAAAAAATCACGGAACTTGGGGACACGGCATTGATAGTGGCTGGACTTATAGTGACGGTAACATTTACAGCTGGTTTCACGGTGCCAGGTGGATTTGAAAGTGACGATGGAGTAAACAAAGGCATGGCAGTATTAGGAAGACGGGCAGCTTTCATAGCTTTTGCTGTGACCGATACTATTGCTATGCTCTTTTCCATTATCGCTGTATTTCTCCTCTTAATTTCATTCACTTATACTGATGCTAATGATCGGTGCAAGCACAAGCTTATAAAGCGCCGAGTCTGGGCTCTTTGGCTCATTACGGCTGCCATGGGAGCAATGGTGGTTGCATTCATGACTGGTTTTTATGCTACATTGGAACCTTCATTAGGCCTTGCAATCACTATATGCCTCATTTGTTGCGGCTTCTTTCCTCTTTTTTTCTTTGTATTTTGGAAGAGAATCGATGAGGATATAGATGACAACCTAAGAGCAACATAAACTGTGGTGGAACTGTATATTAACTGCTTCGGCAATGTGTACCCCCAAAATGGTTTTATTGAATATATAACTGTCTTTCTCCCACACACAAGCATATGGAGGCATTGTCCCAAATTTTGGCATTAAATACTACTAGGAAGCAATATATATGTGTAGCTCAAAATATCACTAAAAAATTAAAACTTTGCTTAGTTTATAAGTTTAAAGACAGTTCTTAAAAATATAGAGAATAAAAAACTATTTTCCGTAAACTATAAAAAATAGTTATCTAAAAACACGTTTTTTTATAACTAGTTTTTAAAAAACAAATTTTAGAACATTGAATCAAGTAGGGTTTTTTTTTTTTTTTTTTTAACACAATTTTTTGTTTTTAATTTTCTAAAAACATCATAAAATTATTGTGAGTTACAAACCAAGTAACCCCTAATTATCTCATATGATGTTTTCTTTCAATTCTACATAAATTGTTGTAGTTTTAATAAATGCTTGCAAAGGATAGTTACTAATATCCTAAAAAAATCAATAAACTCTGTAAGCAGCGACCCTATCAATTGACCCCTTTCCTCCTCTTTTCTCAAACTTTTTGAACCTAGCTTTCTGTAAGGAAAGCCATGTCTGTTCTTCAGTTTTCAACAAATACATTGTTTTTTTCAATATATATATATATATATATATATATATATATATTTATATATAATTTATTTATTTATTATTGTATATAGTATTTGATTCTTAATGAAAGTGTAGTGCATTGGTGAATAACTAAAATATGAATATCACAACGAATCAAATAAAGAAAAATTAAATTTAGTGACCAAAATCAAATATAATAGTCTTAAAGTGGCCATAAAATTTAAAAAATGATGTATAGTCATCAATCCGAGAACTATATTGCTGTTTTGAGACTAAATTCCATTAAATAACCCTTGATTCACAAACACCATATAATAGTTATCTCCTCTCATCTCTTTTTCACAGCAAATCCTTGATACTCATACTTAACCCTGTACAAATTCTATACAAAATGATATATTTTATAAATCTCTCTTACAAAATAGTTGTAGCTCAACAAACTGAACTACCGAGGAAAAAAATAATAATAAATTAGAGAAATGATAAAAGATTGATAAACCCTTCGTTTAGTTGCCCAGAAAATAAGAGAATGCAAAAAATCATCTTGAAACCAACGTCATTGTAATTTCTCTCCCTAGACGACATGGGGCGTCACAATTTATTTCTCTAAATTCAACAAACCCGCCATACCCACCAACTTTAATATTTCTATTTAAATAAGAAACTACAATAACTCATAGTTGAAACTGAAACAAAAAAAATAGAAGGAGCATTAAGGTTCCCTTTAGTTAGAAAACTTGGAACACGTGATGTTCAATTTTGATCATACCCAACTTGCGATAATAAATCAATTTTCAGCTTTGCAACATATTTAAATAAATAAAAATTACAATTTAATTAAACAAATTTGAACACCAAATATGCTAACACATAATTTAGTCTCTCACACTCAAAACAATAACCACTTGTGTGTTTAACATCTGTTATATATATATTCCACAACGTACTGAACAATTTTTTTTCTTTTCTTTAGCATAAAATCTATATTATTTTTTTCATTAACATCTTTTTCATTCTCAATGTAAAGCATAGCTTCAATCAATAACTAAAATTAAGAAGTAAATCACCAGAAAAGAAAAACAAACCGAGACGTATATATTTATATCAACATAAAATATATATAGCAACCAATCTGGAGTTTAAAAGTTAAAACTTTACCTGGCATATAAATGTTACAATTCCAATTCTGGATACCACCACTAGGGAAATGAGTTTACTAATTTTGGTCTAGTTTTAACACAATTAAGCTAATGTGCCGAATTCAAAATATAATTTCGTATGAATATTTTGGAAATTTGAATAATATTATATAGAATAATTTTTTCCTAATGGAATTGAGCCATCAAACACAAATTTGCATTACATGAATTATTATTTTCTAAAATTTAGTGTATTTTTAAATTAAAAGAGTATTTTTTTTCACTTGATGAATTATAGGGATGAAATAAGAATCCCAAGAGTAGGTGAACCAATCCAATTATTCTATTTCAAGCCCCTATGATTCAAGTTTTAAATAATTTCATCACACACCAACAAACAAGATTTAAAATTTTTAAATAATATCACATGAAGTTATGCCATTTTTGACAATCTGGACCCTTGACCTAAAATTTGAAAGTCCAAATTGAACATAAACTATTTCTCAAAAAAATTAGCATAATCAAATTAAGGATATTTAGTCTAACGATATAACTTTTTCATTTCAAAGAGAATGGTAGGGGTTCGAACCCAAGTGCGAGGAAAAAGAGAAAGAGCGCATATACGAATTTGTTTCTTGCCAAAAAAAAGAAAAAAAAACTTGATGACTTTAACATTAAAAACTGTAAGACAAGCAAAAAGTCACAACTTCATGTGTGAACTAAATTTTGAAGTGGTTGAGGTCATCGTCATGATGATATTAAGCTGACATAATCATACCAAAGAAGAAAAAGTGAACTACCTTTTCTGTTCCCACGCCTGCAAGAGTTCCTTGTGGCGCCAACCATCAACTAACATTTATTATTATTGCTTCTCTGCTTCCACATTATCTAGTCGTTATGAGTGTCTATATATATATACTATTCAATTTCTATGTTCACATTCTGTAGTTTCTATATATATGCGTGTGGTTGCGACAAGCAGAGACATTCATGCAAAGAAGCTTAAGAGAGCTGCGACACATAGGTTATTGTTGATCAACAAGGGCATAGACAGAGTCGCTTTCTTCGTCAGAAAATCCATGTCTGCATCCGAACAAAGCTCCGGTGTCCGCAGTCCCAGATCGGTTGTCAAGAAGGTCCTCGCCAAGCCTCAAAATGAAGGTGATGGTGCTGTTGTTAGGAGAAGCATTGGAAGGTAATCTATTTTTTCTCAATCTTGTTTCACGGGTTCAAATCACGGAAACAGCCTAACTGCACACCCTGACTGCTTTCTCGACCCTTTGTGGGTGAATGTTTTGACCATTTTGATTCATGGGGCCTTGTGTTTTGGAGTTTGTTCTCATATTGATATTTGATTGTTTCGGGTTTTGTTTGGGATTTAATTTTCAGTTCCGAATTGAAGAATTTGGATCCATTTCTCATGTTGGATGAATTTGCAGGTACAATAAGATGATAATATGATCTTTGCACTCTAATTTGGATTATTGCCTGGCATTAAGACCTTTCTTTGTGTTAATTTTTGCAGTCTCACCTCCTGCTGGATTTCCTGATCACCCACATAGAGGTGGATTATATATGTATATATACACATATATGTGGATATATCCCTGTTCTTGCTCATTTTCTTGGATGCTGACTCCGTGCGATGTTTTTACAGGATTTGAGACTGTAACATACATGTTGGAGGTAAAAATATTTACTTCAGTAGCAATTTTTTTTTTTTTTTTAACTATTTGAAGTTTCAATTGTGAAAAAGGTAGAATTGTTAAAAACTGAACATAGATTTTTGGGTAATTTAGGGATCTTTCAGTCATCAAGATTTTGCAGGGCATAAGGGTACAATCGGAACCGGTGATGTTCAGGTAAATGTATAGATTGATGTCAATAAATCGGTAAATATATAGATTGATGTCAGTAAACGATTTACTTTCAAACACTAAAGAATCAGGCACAGGTTCAATTTTTACTCATGAAGACTTGTGTTCTTTCTTTCTTATTATTATGAAAATGTACAGTGGATGACAGCAGGAAGAGGGATAATTCACTCGGAAATGCCTGCAGGAGAAGGAACACAAAGGGGATTGCAACTATGGATCAACCTATCTTCCAAGGATAAAATGTAAGCTTTTTTCCCCAACTACTCGGGAATCGGAATTAGGTTATATGAATCATGTGTTTCCATTCCGCTCTGAGGTCGTGGCCTCAATCAAATGTTATCATAATTGAAATCAAAATGACAACATTGATCACATTTGAAATCAAAATTAGTTCTATAAAAGCTGTAGCAACATTTATAGAAACTATCACATTGCTATCATATATTGCATAATCCAGCAATCAATTCAAGGACTAATTCAAGGACTTACTACTAAAAATTTAAACTACAGGATTGAACCGAGGTATCAAGAACTGTTGAGGGAGGATATCAAACGAGAAGAGAAGGATGGAGTTGAAGTCAGAATTATAGCAGGAGAAGCTATGGGGATTCAATCTCCGGATTACACCAGAACGCCAACAATGTACCTTGATTTCACTCTTAAACCGGGAGCCCAGTTGCATCAAAATATCTCAGAATCCTGGAATTCCTTTGTGTATATCATTGAAGGTGAAGGGGTCTTTGGTTCCTTAAACTCATCACCGGTAACAGCTTATCACGTCTTGGTTCTGGGTCATGGAGATGGTCTAAGTGTGTGGAACAAATCTGCCAAGCCTTTGAGATTTGTGTTGATAGGAGGACAGCCACTTAACGAACCAGTGGTTCAGTATGGGCCTTTCGTGATGAACACGCAAGCTGAAATTAATCAAACTCTTGAAGACTATCGTGGTCGCAAGAATGGTTTTGAGAGGGCTAAGCATTGGAGATCTCAGTAAGTCAGCTACTTAAGGCAGAAGATCACAGAATTACAGAGATTCTATACTCTGGAGTATCACTTATATTCTTCCATTTGAAATTTTAGCTCAATCTGTATTTCCAATATCGGTAACAATAGCATCAACAATTCTCCGCTTCGGAAGGAGTATTCTTTGGTTTCTCTGCCACCGAAGCAATAAACAGAGGGAACAAGTGTCCTCTTTTTTTTTTTTCCTAGGTGAGACTCACACACACTACCTCCACTGAGGTTCGAACCCCTGACCTCCCTTTGGGAAGTAGGAGCCTTGTACTGCTAGGCCACAAGCCTTGGTAACAAGTGTCCATTTTCGGTCCGTCTCTATTTAAAAAAAAAAAAAAAAAAATTCGGTCCGTCTCTATTAAATTTTCTAACACTAAAGATTTTCCTAGAGTAACCACCAAAAGAGAGGATTGGAGAAAAAGAATTACGCAGAAATGTAATCGGGTAAATTACACTCACACCCCCTGTGGTTTGGTCATATTACACCTAGATTAACATTTTGGCTTTAGATTTCACTTATATTTGAATGAGTTATTTAGCATTTCACTTACACCCCAAATATCAATTTTTGATTGAATCGGAGTACTTTTGAGGTGTTAAATGACTATACTACCCTTTAACCTCACATTGACTTTTTTTGTGACCAAAGTACCCCTCACAATCACCACCGCCTCTCTATCATGAACCTTCTCTTTCTCATTTTGACTTCAGATGTGTGTAGGACGATGACTATACTGCCCGACAAGTGAAATTTCTTTAACACCATCAACCACTTCCTTCTGGAATTTCTTTAACACCTTCGCGGATGGTGGAAGGTGCGGACAAAAAGGAAAGTCGCAAATCAATAAGGATGGGTTATGGGGGTGGGTTATGCCGCAGATCGATTCGCGATGAGGATGGGTTTTCCGCTCAGTAGATTTTGGGTGATGGGTTAACGGTGGTGGTTGTAAGGATGGAGGTGGGAATGGTGGCAGTGGTTTGGGATATGTGGTGGCGGATGTCGGGATGGAGATGGTGGCAAATGGTTTGGGATAGGTGGTGGTGGATGTAGGCTGCCCCAAAACAACTGTTATAGCTGCTCGAAAGAGGTTTACGATAGATTGTTGAAAGATTCTGAAGATCTTAACTCTATTCAATGTCGCGACATAAATGCTCCAACAAGGTTCCAAAACTACTTTACCAATTTCTTGAACTTGAAGGAGTTGTACATGAACTGGTGCATCTGATGGAGCCAGAGATGGTGGCGGTTGTGTGGGGGTAAGGATAGGGTTTTTTTTGTCATTTAAGATAATATATATTTTGTATTAAAAAATTGAGGGTAAAATGGTCCATTCACATGATTGGGGTGTAAGTGAAAAGTAAAACCAAAATTTTCATCTAGTTGAAATATGACCTAACCTCAGGGGGTGTTGGTGTAATTTACTCAAAAAAATATATCACTGGATGGCTGCAAAAAATTTCTAGACGACCCAAAATGTGGCTGCAGCTACTGTGTTTTATACTAAAGTCACGATGCATCAACTTATCTTCCTTAAATTACTCTTTGCAATAAATTCCTTTTTGGCCACGTTTTCTTTCTTTCGGTGATAGTTCATGTTTTAGAAGTTCATCATTATCATCATTCTTGCCTTAATCTCCATATGAATGGGGTTAGCACATGAATTCTCTGTCTCCAATCTTTTCAATTACATGTCATTCCACCTATTATTCTTAACTTTTAATAGTCATTTTTAATTAACTTCATCCCATGGGAATCCCATGTTCCCAATGTTATTTTTGATTGCCCTCTCCGTCTCTTATCTTCTATGACAACTAATCTTCCTCTTTTTATGCGCGCATCTATAGGTCTCCTATATATGTGTCTAAACCATATAATTCTACTCGCTCTTATTTTCTCGCTAATGGGTGTCATGCCTAATTTTTCTCTTACACTTTCATTTGCGATCCTATCTTTTCTAGTCACTCCAATCATCCATCTTATTGTCTTTTTTGGAGCCCAACACTCCACTCCATATAACATAGTTGGTCTAATAACCGTCGGATAAAATTTTCATTTTAGCCTATGTGTTATTCTTTAATCACGTAAAATGCCGCTAGCTTGTCTCCATTTTGTCAACCTTACTCCAATTCTACTAGTTATATTACCATCTAACTCTCCATTCTTTTGTATTATTGATCCTAAATGACGAAAGTGATTGTTTTGAATAATCTTTTGGTTTTGAATTGTTATAATTATATTATTAATATCCGAGTCTTTATTAAATTTACCCTTCATATACTCTGTTTTATTTCAACTATTTCTCAACCCTTTCAATTCTAAAGCCTTAAGCCGCATTTCTAATTTTATTGCTAAGTTCTCTTTACAGGAATAGAATAATAATATACCATTGGCAAACATCATGCACCATGGGATATCGAGTTAGAATTTTTTATTATTTCATCAAAAATTATTACAAATAAACATGGGCTTAGCACCGATCCTTGGTGCAATCCTACATTTATCAAGAACTCACTTTTTTCATCACACATGGTACGAAGTTTCCTTTGTAGGGCGCACCAAATTATAGCTCTTGGAACCCCATCATACGCTTTTTCAAAATCTATAAAAACCATATGTAGATCTTATTGCTTACTCCTATACTCCTCAACCACTTGTCAAAGTATATAGCTTCCATTGTTGATCTACCTCGCATGAATCAAAACTGGTTATCGGATACTGTAGATTCCTTCCTTAGTCTTTGTTCTATTATTACCCTTTCCCATAGTTCATGATTTATGAGTTTATTATTATTATTTTATTTATTTATTTGAGATACTCTTTATTTTGTTTTCTTTTGGGTATTGAAGGAGGTGGAAAGAGTGGTGGGGTTGGCCTTTTCTCATGAATTGAGTTCTCAGCATATATATACCAACAGGCGACCCTCTACCTAGGATGTAATTGCTAGAACTACGTTATAGCAGAAAGAAAGGGTCGAGTAATGTGGCAGAGATTGATTTAGCAATGGGTTAGGATGATCTGGGATGGATAAACAAATGGGACCTACCCAAAGGATAAAAGTATAAATAAATAAATAATAAAATAAAAATAAAACAGGAAATCTGGCAATCAAGCTCTCAGTTTGTTGATAAGCGCATGCAACTTAGAGAGAATAAAGAAAATAACTTGAGTACAAAAACCAACTCTAGCAGCAATTTTTAAAACAATAAAGCAAATAATTATATAATCACAACAAAATAATGTGCCCTTACATCTTACTGGTATCAAGAACTAGAAAACTTCATTTCAAATATTTCCTTTGAATAAATGACAAATATTGAATTTCTAATTTCACAAGACACTATATTATCTTATTTGTAACTATAAAACCCCTCCACAATATCCATCAAAAAACAAATAAAAGAACAAACCAAATCAAATTAACAAACCAACCTCCAAAAAAAAAAAAAAAAACTCAAATTGTACACAATTGCGGAACCATTGGAAATTAGTCACCTGGAACAGCAAGGATAGTGGCTCTGAGTTTGCTTGGATCCATCAGTACCATTATTAACAAGGCTTACCCTGTTGACTGATAATTCTGCTTTGTAAGAGTCAGAGTTCAAGACCTTCCTGCTGACGTTGTTGTAAATCTCCCGAATAACTATCTCGAAGGCCTTTTTGACATTTGTTGAATCCAGGGCAGATGTCTCCATAAAGAACAATCCTTCTGCTTCTGCAAGGGCCTTGCCTTCCTCCACACTCACAGCCCTGATATTCTCCAAATCACATTTGTTCCCCACCAGCATCATCGCCACAGTTGTATCAGAATGAGCTGCAAGATTAGCTTTTAGTTCAGGCTTTAGGAATTCTAAAATGCGAAAGTAAATATAAAGAGTTTTGAGCGCAGAACAGAATATGGAAGCAAACTAGACAAGTAATATAGCATGCAAAGCTCAAGAAGCACAACAGAATGCGAGTGAAATAACAAAAGTAACATTTAAGAAACAAGAGCTAAACCAGAAAAAATATGATGATGCAGAAGTGGTCATATTTTCCCAATCCCGGATTATATCATATTATGGCCAGAAAAATGATCAACACAAAGTCAGTTTCAACAAGAAGTACATCAAATATATACCGCACTTTACAGTAAAGCATTTCCTGTGTAGAGCAGATTCAATACTGTGGCAAGGTTTACAAATTACCTGCCATAAATAAACATTTATGCAGCTTCTTAAGCACTGACAATTGTTTCAACACATCTATAAAGAGCCATCGCATACTATTAGATCACTAACACAGTTAGATATGGTTCTATACAACTCTAATGCGTTCTTTTGGAGGGTGCTGCCCTTGTGTGTTTGGTGGTGTTTGTGGAAAGAACAGAATAGGAGATCCTTCGATCGGGAGAAGACTCCTATTAGGGCACTGAAATTCTCTATCATTTGTTCTATTTTCTGTTGGGTTTCTGGGAGAAATTGTAAATCCATGGGGAAGAGAGATGATTTTTTGGACATATTGAGAGGACGAGGGCCCTATTTGGTCCTTGTTTTTTTTTTGGGATGCGTTTCCCATTTGAATGCTCTCTAATACAGGCTTAAAAATCTCGAGGAGGAAAAAAAAAACAGTACTACCATTAGCTTCCTCCAAAGCTTGGCAGCTTTGTTCTTAATTCCACTATCAAATTCATCTTGTACAGATACTAGCATACCTCTACCATCTGGTACCTGTATTTTGCATCATATGCATCTAGGTAAATTAACATCCAAACTGTTGTATGGTTCAACACCTCCATCTTAAGTGCTTATAATCTGCCAAGTCATGCCTATGCAATGGTCATAGTCAATATTCCTACATTCTAAAACAACCCAACTTAAATATATAAATGTGTGTTTGCATTGGAATAAGCATACTCGCACTAATCCATGTCCAAGATGAGTTAGTGGTCGTTCCACCCAAAAATTGGGATTTTCTTTTACGGGGTTGAGTGTGGGGTGTATTTGGAGGAGGGGGTGTTGGTAACTTGGTGGAACTCGTTCCATTAGAAAAATAAATACACAGCCATTTTGCAATGCGGAGACACTGCTATTTTACTCTAAACATACATGTTCAAAATATCCTTATTACCAAGTTACCAACCACATAATAATCTGATTGAGGAAAACAGCCCCCTTGGTAATTTTGGTGTCCATGTTGACAGTGAATTTCATACCACCCCCAACCAACCACAAAACCAAAAGAAAAGAAAATTCTTTTTCGCCCGCGGGGGTGATAGAAATATATATATATATTGTTAACAACCATCTACTCTAAAAACTTAAGCTGTTAGAGAGGGTGTAACTTAAATATATAAATCCTTCAACACGCCCCCTCACGTGTGGCCTTCTTTTTGGTCCGACATGTTTTTTTAATTAGGGTGATGGTGAGGTTTGAAATCGAGACCTTTAACTCTAACACTATGTTAACAACCATCTACTCTAAAAGCTTAAGATGTTAGAGAGGGTGTAACTTAAATATATAAATCCTTCAACATATATGTATTTTTATATACACACATTGAAAAGAACATATGGCTTTTAGACATATGGATGTATCATAAAGAAGCTAGCACATCCCTCCATTCCATAATAAACTGCAAAGGAGGACTATATGCTTAGTTTGGTGCTACATCTCATATGGAAGAGATATGTAAGCAGAAAATTTTAGAGCTTGGAAGACCAATGAAGTACTTGAAACAAACCAGAACATAATTGAACTTACAAGAAACAAAAATTAAATCCCTGGATAATAGCATCATTATAAATTATGAAAAACAGATGCTTACGAAAAAAGGAAATGGAAAGAGATGAATATCATCTGAATGGAAAAAAAGGAAATTGGAATGGAGACGGGCTAGTGGCATCCTTGGTGATAGAAGAAAACAAACAAGTTAAAAGGAAATTTTGATGGGAGGGTCAATACTCATTAGGCCAACTATCTTATATGGGACAGAGTGTTGGGCATTCATGTAACTAAAATCAGAATGTCGAAATAAATTATAGGAGTGACTAAAAAAAGAGATTCACAAATCAAAGTGTGAGGGAAAGATTAGGAATATAATCCTCTGAATATAATCCTCCTGCTAACTCGGTAGCAAGGATTTCTTCAACAAGCCAGGCACGGAAATGTACCAATTGACACCAAGTCATTATGTGAGCACATTTTATCAATCACTAGACCACTAGAACTCACTAATTCATTTAAATATATACATATAGTTTAGAGCCTGGTACCTACTTTCATTGAACATCTAAGAAAATTTTCAAACTTTTTCTTAATTTTATATTGCAAGAACAATGATTATGTAAATGTTAGAAGCAATAACTTGTTTAAATACTGATAGGATGCCACAAAGTAATAATTCCCGAAATGACACCACCATCATAAGTTCAGATCTGCTAGTCATAGTCATAATCATAATGGCTACCTAATCAAACCCAAATCCTTCTTTTGATCAATAATCAAACCAAATCTAGCAAACCACATAATGAAATTAAACAATCAAATGTGGGTTTACTTTCGAGAAACAAAAACACAGCATCTACTACTAGTAGAAACATATATGTGTATGTATTTGTGTGCATTGTGAGTAGGTTAGCTAATTAATGAAAATATTGACATACTCTTGAGCTCATCGAGCCACCGGCCGATGCTATCGAAGGTGGTACGGCGGCTGATATCGTAGACAATGAGGGCACCGACGGCGCCGCGGTAGTAGGCGGAGGTGACGGCGCGGAAGCGCTCTTGGCCGGCGGTGTCCCAAATCTGGGCCTTGACTTCCTTGCCGTCGATGTCCATGCTCTGGGTCTGGAACTCCACTCCGATGGTGGCCTTGGAGTGGGCGTTGAACTCGTTCCGTGCGTAGCGAGAGAGGAGGTTGGACTTGCCCACTGCTGAGTCTCCGATTATCACCACCTTGAACAGATACTCCTCTCCTCCTCCGTCGTCTTCATCCATTTCTGATTAATTGAATTTTGTTCTTTTCTTTGAGATTTGTGTTGAAGGTTGTGGATGAATGTGGACTGTAGCTGTGGATTTGGGTTAGAAAGAGAGAAGGGGTGGGAGAATTAGAGAGAGAAAGTGGCGGTGATCTAGAGAGAGAGAGAGAGAGAAAGAGAGGCGGAAACGGGTCTGAATTTGGGGAGGTGGAAGTGGGGATGATGATGTGCAAGGCTGGCAGAAAGAGTACTGCGAAAGTAGTGGTTTGAGTGCTTTTTTTGTGAGGTTTTTGTTTATGAACAATAAAAGGTGGTTTTTGATTAAATTACATTGTTTATAAAAATAAAAATAAAATAGTTTACAATAAAAAATAAATAAATAATTTATGAAAAATAATATACAAATGAAAATAAAGAGCGAAATTATTGGGGATCCATCGAGTACCAAGAATGTAAGTAATAAATCAATTAATAGAGTTTAACTCTTTTATAATATGAAATACTGTAGTTACTATATTGTCAAATAATGAAATAATGACTAATAAATTAAAGTGAAAATAAAAAATAATATAAATTTTAACACAAAATTTTATACTCTCACTCCACTTTTCTCTCACTGCTCTCTTCCACATATATTTTTCTTAAAATTAAAAATTAAAATTAAAATTTTTGTTCAGAACAGATTTTTTTTTTTCCTCCAGAAGTAGGGAAACATATTCACACACTGTAGTATTTTTACGTGTTCTCAACTTTTCTGTGAGCTCCGTATCTTTGTCATGTCATCGCTGAGACATTTGTTTAATAAAAAATAATAATAAATTATTGAGGCATTGAATACTAATTACATTTTATTCTCATTATTTAATTACAAATAATAATGATTTATAATGAAAAACACTATTAACAAATGGTTGCAATGCAGTCACAACCTCTAATCGTTTATTTTTTTCTATTACTATTTTCATTTTATTAAAAATTTCAAATGAAATGCAGATGTAAAAACGTGGTGTGAAAAGACTTTTTTTGTGTTTGGTGAAGGTCTACGAAATTGAGGTCGAATCTATTGATTGGGATTATGTAAAATAATTTGTCGAAAATTAATAAATAAATTATTTTTATTAAATTTTCGCGACAACCAAACACTAAAAAATAAAAAATAAAAATATTATTTTACTCCTAAACAAACGGAGCCTAAATGAAATTTCGAAAACAAGTTTTAACATAATATTAACAAACTGTAAATTATGCTGTCATGACTCGAATGCAAGACAATGTTTAAAAAAAATGAAGACATATTAGTTAATAAGATTTTTATTATTATTATTATTATTATTATTATTTTAACCGCGGTTAGAAACTCACATTACTCACCCCAAAGCAGAATTCGAACTCTCAATCTTCTTCTTTGAAAGAAAATAATATATCACTAAACTATAGCCTTGAATTTTATTTATTTATTAAAAGTCTTCTCATTTGATGATCCCCCACCCATAACAACACCGGTTAATTTAGACATCAAAATTTCATTCTTAAAAATCGTAAATTAGTTCTAAAAAATCGTTCTAACATTCAATTACGCTGCGGGAAGACAAGTTAACAAAATTTTGCTATGTGGGTTAAGATAAAGCATAGCAAATTTTAATTACTAAAATAAGTTTTTGTATGGCAAAATTTGTAAAAAGTGTGTGTGTGTATATATATATATATATTGGTAATGATTGTATGGATTAAAGAGAATCTTACACTGTATTAGCATTGTAGAAGGAATATATGACGATGTGTAATTTTACATTAAAGGGCTGCGTTGCATCTCGCATGGTTGAGGAGCAGCAGCAACTAGAGTGCCAAGCCTAAGGGTGGTTTCCCCGACCAAAGCCTGATATGGCTACAGTTGTGGAGGAATTGTTGGCTTCAGCTAATAAGCACCAACAAGAGTAGCAGCCACAGCCATCACGGCAAGGCCAAGGAAATGATCCTAATAGGGGTGGCCACATGTCGAATTGAATTAAGCATCAATCCTAATCTGATTCGTCCCTAATGGATTAGACAAATCTTAATCCGCTACCAATTCGTTATTCCATAGATCGAATTGAATCCGTGTAATAACGAATCGAATCTGCGTATTGGGTTTTATTTAAATTATCCATTATTATTTATCTTTTAAACATAACCCAATAGATACTAATATATTTTTTAAAAATATATATATATATATATATTTCACGGATCGGACTTGTAGATAGGATCGGATTTTTAATAGCCTAATCCATAATCCGATCCGTGAGTTACAGATTCGACTTTTTTTAATCCGCCACCGATCCGTGGATGTAGGAATCCAGTCTGATACGGATCGGACCAGATTGTATCGAATTCGCGGATTATTTGCCCACCCCTAGATCCTAAGCGTCAAGGCCGAAAGGCCAAAGTAGCAACAGGAGCAACCAGAGTGAACATCGAGGCCAGGAAAGGCCTGAGCAAGCAAGAGGAGGGGTTGCAGCAACAAGAGTGTTGAGACCAGGTGAGGCCTAAGCAGCAACAGGAACAGCTGGAGCATCCAGTGCGCGGAGGCCGGGGAGGCCCATGCAGCAACTGGGGTTGCTGGAGCAACCAGAGGGTCGAGGCCGGGGAAGGCCTCCGGAGACCATACCAACTAGTGGAATGGGTAAAAAACACTTGGTGAAGTTGAGGAAGCAACCCAGTGTTGGGACCTGGAAGGTTGCTAAAGCTGGACCAAGGAATTCAAAGACGGTAACAGTTGTAAGTGAAATTTTGTGCCCTTTTTTTTTTTTTTTTTTTTTTTTTTAATTAGCATCAGCACCATAGTAGGTGTATGCAACATAGTATATATACGTGTACGCAACAAATTACCAAGTGAATATTTCTAGGATCAAGGTAAGCAAATCTGACATCCTGCACCAAACTTACTCTGTTAGGAGACATTCCCTGTTAATTCTGAATGAAAGAAATGAAGAAAAAATGTAAACAACAACATTTCCATCTATTAAGTACTTGAACTCAAAAAATTTCCAGAACCAAATACATTTCAACATCAAAAGATGAAACAAAAGAAATCTGAGCTATCATTAACATATTTTCTCTTCAGGAAAAAGAGTAGCAAATTAAATATCTTTTGCTGAAGTAGAGGACAACTTTGTTTATGTACAATTGGTTCAATCTTCTTCGTATTATCAAGTTATCCAGTGATGGATCTGTCTGGCCAGGATCACCCACCTGTGGCATCAAACTTGACCCTTGAGTGCAGACTTGGTTTTACTAACCCTAATTTGCTAGCATTGCATGGTTTCCTTGCATCCACACGTGCAACTGTCAAGTTCCTTATTAAGCTTCTGGAAGAGTAAAAGATAGAACCGTGTCACCACAGACTACGCAGAAAAAATTAAAAAATGTCCTAAAATATTACCAACATGACATTGATCATTACAACCTCCAAGCAAAAAATATCAGTTAATACATACCTCAAGCTTAAAGTCAATCAATGTATTCATCATGATCAATACTTATATATAGTAAATATTAGTGAAAAGGAGTTTACAAGAACAATGAAGAAAAAAATGTGATGTCCTTTATTTTTTAATCTGAAAGATGGTAATATAAAAATATTTACGGTGATCAACGGTGAGCTTGGTAGCACGAGTAAGGGAATGTTACACTAATTAAAGAAAGAAAGTAATCTTTTCCCACCTACATGGGTTCGGTATGACTCATTAGTACAACTTTGTACGTATATGTGGGAGGGAGAGAGAGAGAGAAATAAAAAAAGAAGAGAGAGATTTTGATAATTTTGGATTTTTTAAAAAAAGTAAAAGGGTAAGGGTCAGACTCATAATTTTGTAAAATAGGGGGGCATTTTGCAAAATTTCACAAAAATTTATGTATAAAATAAGGGACCATCTGGTCATAATTCCCTTCGAGTTTCATCTTTCTTAATATGTTTTTTACCTTGCACTCCCTAATCCTAAGGAAAAATATGTTGTGTCTAAAGGTTATCATGTTATTCTAAACCTAAACTTCTTAGATGATTATTCCTAAACTTCTTAGATGATTATTACTTTACAATTTACCAAGGTAATTTTTTCATCTCTCTTTTATTTTGTCAGTTTTTACTAAAACCCTTAATCTTCACTCTTGATATATTTAATACGAATAAAATCTTTATCTTTCCTCTCCCTTAATTTAGCAAGTGTATATATATTATTCTCTACATATTTTGTACTTAAATTAGGACAGAGATCATCAAATGCTTTATATTTAGCTTCTAATGAAAGAAAATGGAAGAACTGAATTTGGAAAGGAAATGGTTTGCTTAGTAGATAATTGGTTCAGCACCAATCCCCTTTAAGCCTTCTTGTGTATGGAAGAATGGAAGAGCTTTCTGCAACCATTTGTGTGAACATTGTAGAAGTTTAGGCATTGGAAGGCATGCACGACCAAGTACTTGGAAAGTAAAAGATTAGGTTACTCGAGCCAGTATTCATAGGACCATCCTATCTTTTTTGAAAAGGAAGGAAAAGCTAATTACAGAGGAGAAATTGGGAGAAGTATCATTTTCAGCTCTGTAACTAGTGATCAACGGTGAGCTTGGTAGCACGAGTAAGGGAATGTTACACTAATTAAAGAAAGAAAGTAATCTTTTCCCACCTACATGGGTTCGGTTACATGAATACTGTTTTTCTGTTTTACCCTCAAAGTCATACTAAACCACATGCTATCATATATCTTCTTATTAATTTTGGTCTTTCCTTCCCCTAACTTTACCCTCAATGTGAACCATGTCACTCTAAGTATCTAGTGCATTTAGTGATCTTCTTTACGCATGTCAAGCCATCTTAATTAATTCTCTCATTTAGTCATTTGTATCCCCAACTGGTGCTAGTGCTACTTCAACCATCTCACAAATATGTTCATTTCTATTTCTCTGTTTTCTTGTCTTGTTGAACGTCCATTTCAAGATTTCCGCCAAACACTTGTGTTGTTTCGTAGCTTCCTAATATTCTGTCCCATAAATAACTATTGGTTTAATAGTTGTTCTATATACCTTTCCTTTAAATCTCGAAGATATACAACGATCACAGAATAAATTAGCTGCACTCCTCTATTTAACCCATCCTACCTTGATTCTATGATTCTCATCTCAATTTTCTCCTTCATTACAAATAATTGAGCCGAAATAGTGAAAATGTTCACCTTTTGGTATCTCTTGATCCTTAATCTCCACTAAATCCCTATTTGTATTTCTATATTTACTTAAGTTACACTCCATATATTCAATTTTATTCCTACTTATCTTAAATACTTTTAATCAACAGCTAACCTCCAATTTAGTACCTACTCTTTCTTTAGTTTCATCAATCAACGAGTTTTGCTAGTTCATCCATAACCAAGGCAAAAATATACATGGGCTTAATGTTGACTCTTGATATAAATTGAAAATTCACTTGTTTCTCCCATAGTCGTTCTAACAATATTTACATTTCCTTCATGCATGTCCTTTATTGCGTTAATATATCCCTTGTGACTCATTTCTCAAACCTCCATATTAGATCTCTAGGTACCTTATCGCATGTTTTCTCTAAATAAAAAAATAAATAGCCTCCGTCTTTGACCTCCCCGGCATGAATTCAAATCGATTTTGACACTTCAGATTCTGTCTTAGTCGTTATTTAATCTCTGTCTCAAAGTTTCATAGTATGACTCATTAGTACAACTTTGTACGTATATGTGGGAGGGAGAGAGAGAGAGAAATAAAAAAAGAAGAGAGAGATTTTGATAATTTTGGATTTTTTAAAAAAAGTAAAAGGGTAAGGGTCAGACTCATAATTTTGTAAAATAGGGGGGCATTTTGCAAAATTTCACAAAAATTTATGTATAAAATAAGGGACCATCTGGTCATAATTCCCTTCGAGTTTCATCTTTCTTAATATGTTTTTTACCTTGCACTCCCTAATCCTAAGGAAAAATATGTTGTGTCTAAAGGTTAACATGTTATTCTAAACCTAAACTTCTTAGATGATTATTCCTAAACTTCTTAGATGATTATTACTTTACAATTTACCAAGGTAATTTTTTCATCTCTCTTTTATTTTGTCAGTTTTTACTAAAACCCTTAATCTTCACTCTTGATATATTTAATACGAATAAAATCTTTATCTTTCCTCTCCCTTAATTTAGCAAGTGTATATATATTATTCTCTACATATTTTGTACTTAAATTAGGACAGAGATCATCAAATGCTTTATATTTAGCTTCTAATGAAAGAAAATGGAAGAACTGAATTTGGAAAGGAAATGGTTTGCTTAGTAGATAATTGGTTCAGCACCAATCCCCTTTAAGCCTTCTTGTGTATGGAAGAATGGAAGAGCTTTCTGCAACCATTTGTGTGAACATTGTAGAAGTTTAGGCATTGGAAGGCATGCACGACCAAGTACTTGGAAAGTAAAAGATTAGGTTACTCGAGCCAGTATTCATAGGACCATCCTATCTTTTTTGAAAAGGAAGGAAAAGCTAATTACAGAGGAGAAATTGGGAGAAGTATCATTTTCAGCTCTGTAACTAGTGGTGAAGGACTCCCCTAAAGGATCATAATTTTCAAAACACTAAAAGCAGAGGCGGAGCCAAGATTGCAAAGTAAGGGGGGCTAAAGATAATAAGAAATTTTGAAGATGAACACAATAATTATTATGATTAAGATATGTTATATATATTAAAAAATAGACCAAAAAACGATGATGTTCTCATATATCAAATCAAGTTTTTCAGGGAAAAAAAATTAAAAATCAATCTCAGAGAGATTCTTCTTCTCTAGTCTCTGCAATTTCCTTGCTAGACCCCCAAACGGGCCAAACCCTATGAGGGAAAATACCACTGCGTGTTGAGAGGAAGTGGCTGAAGAGTAGTAAAAATTGATTACATATCACATATGGATTGTGCTGATAGGAAGAGGAAGAGTAGTACTATGGGTTGGGCTGAATTGGGCAAATAGAGAGAGAGAGTAGTACTAAAAATTGATTACATATGGACTGGCTTGATAAGAATAGTAGTACTATTTTTTTTATAAAAATAATTGGACCTGGGCTATAGCCCAGGTTAGCCCATTAAAGGCTCCGCCCATGACTAAGAGCCAGAATGAGTATGTAATCCAAAACGTCATTTTCCTTTCAAACGCTTGAAGTTGAAAAAGATACTTTAGATCCTAAGTATCATGTATTAGAACCGGAGGATCAGAAAGATAAAATAATTTGAAATGAACACACCCCCCCCCCCCCCCCCCCCCCCCCCCACCCCCCACCACACACAACACCCAACAAAAAAAAAAAAAGAAAAAGAAAAAAGAATTTGAACAAAAAAAAAATGTAAATGTGTTGCTAAACTGATTCTAGAATAAATTGGACTTCTATGTTCTACCCACTGACAATTATGGCGGTTTCTTTTGCTTCCTTTTATTTTTTCCTCTCTCTCTCCCCTTTTGAATGTTGAGTACTGCTTTAAAACAATGAAACAAGCCAAAGCAATCACTTTTTGCACATTAAATTGACTCTTGAGACACATTAAGTGGTAACTGAACAAAGGATATGCATCCGAATTAGAGGTACTTCTTCCAGTTGAAGGTATGCATATGCCTTATAAGAATGAGGATGCCAACAATGAATATGATGTTCAAGAAAGATGGGATTACTAATGAGGATATAAAAGCAGCTATGGTAATTTCATAAGCTGACAAATAGGAAATGTAATTAATGTTTGATATAGTTTGATTCCAAGACAATAGGCTGCACCATCAAATCTGAAGTAATATTATTTTAACTGTTGGAACTTGATATACATTGTTGGGCCTATTCTCCAACAACATAAGCTTTTGGAATCATTGGTGATCTAACATGATATTAGAGCCTAAATTCTGGGAAGTCTTGGGTTCAAGTCTCCATCTTTGCATTTGTTCCCCGCTTTGGTGTGCAAGTTTGCACTCGTAATAACCTTGGTTTGGTTTCTTGCCATGTGTAAGACAGGGTTACACGTGAGGTTGGGTGTTGGAACTTGATATAAATTGTTGTCTCATTCTCTAACAGCTTTTGGAGTAATTGGTAGTCTAAAACAGTATCAGAATGGTTTTGGGAGGTTTTGGGATCAAGTCTCCAACTTTGTGTTTGTTCCCAGTTTGGTGTTCAAGTTTGCACTTGTTTTGATCTTGTTTTGCTTTGTTTGCGTCACCAAGTGTAAAACGGGATTGGACGTGAGGGAGAGTGTTGGAGCTTGATATATATTGTTGGGCTCATTTCTAACAGCTTAAGCTTTTGGAGTAATTGGTAGTCTAACATGGTTTTTTTTTTATATATATAAGTAAAATTTCATTGAAGGCACCCAAAAGGGGAGCACTCCCAAAGAAAACAGAAGCCGAAACACAGCAACACTATAACTTTAAACTATCCACAAAGTCAAATAGATGTTCCATAGAGATACAATCCTGCCCATTTACCCAAAAGAATAAAGAAGATAGAATATTGTATTTAAGACACCAAATGGGAGATTCCTCTATCTCAAAAGATCTCCTGTTCCTCTCGCGCCACAGACCCCATCAAATACATTTGGGAGTGGCCCTCCAAGCATTTCTGACTCGGCTCTACACTATGCACCCTTTCCAAGCCTCTAAAATATCTGGAAGAACCAGAGCATACCAAAAGCAGTCAAAAACATAGACCAAACATCCCGTGCCACCAAGCAATGAAGAAGGAGATGGTTCAACCTTGGTTTTGGGAGGTCTTGGGTTCAAGTAACCTATATGCATTTTCCCCCTGGTTTGTTGTGCTTGATGATCTAACATGGTATCAGAGCCTATCTAATATGGTATCCAAGCCTTGGTTATAGGAGGTCTTGGGCTAAGTCGCCATCTCCGCATTTGTGTGCCGCTTTGGTGTGCAAGTTCTAAGTTTTTATGATCATGGTTGGCTTGCTTGCCTTGCCATGTGCAAGACAGGTTGCATGTGAAGGAGATGTTGGAGCTTGATATACATTGTTGGGTCACTCTCTTATAGCTTGCGCTTCTTGATTAATTAGTAATCTAACAAGGTATCGGCAAGGTTGTGGGTTTAAGTCTCCTTTATGCATTTGTTCCCTGGTTTGTTGTGCTTGGTGATTTAATATGGTATCTGAGCATTGGTTCTGGGAGGTCTTGGTTATGATCTTGGTTGGTTCGCTTGCCTCGCCAAGTATAAGACAGAGTTAAACGCGAAAGAAGGTGTTACGATCTTGGTTTGGTGTGCAAGTTTGCACTTGTTATGATCTTGGTTTGATTTGTTTGCTCTGCCAGTTGCAAGACAGGGTTGCACAGGAAGGGGCATTGGAGATTGATATACATTGCAAGGTCCATTCTCTAACATGAACTGCTTCAGTTAAAATATAGAAAGCCGATTGAAAAACACATGAATGTAGTTGAACAGATGAAATGTATACAGAACAATAGAATTAAGAATGCATCTTTAATAATATCAACTGTACAAATATATGCATCTATTTAGTTGTTAATATTACCTGTAAATTTGAACAGATAGCCATATATTTAGGATATTCTTTACATCAGATAACAGTGTAGCAAAATAAAAATAAGAACACAAGATTTTTTCATATTTACCCACCTGAACCTGATTTTGAAGGCCTTTAATATGATTCACTGCAATATCCAGCATGTCCGCATAGCTTGTTTGCTGCAATGACATATTCTTTTTTTTAAATTAACGCAACAACGCATATTTTGACATATAATCAGTAATCTAGTCTGACTAGAATATTGTAATTAGACATGTATGTAAAATTTATTCCGACTCAAATGCATTAAATTATGTTTCTTATTTGTAACTCATTCAAGAAAAATTAAAAAAATTTTAAAAAAAAATAATAACTAGATTTGTTTCATATCTTAGCTTGAAAAGCACATAGATATGTTTGGCTCTGATTTCAATTCCATAGGCCTTAGCTTGTGTTCAATTCCCAGGGGTGTCAAAAACCTTCTCTCTGAGTTTACCCAATACCCGTGGTTTGGCTTTGGAGGTGATTGCGGGTATCCGAAGGGAATAGTCATGCCCCTCAGAAAGATATCCTTGTAGCAAATAGAAAAGGCACATTACTCATTGTCGCTCTTGTCAGTTCAGAATTTCAGAGGGGGTACCAAAACGGAGGGTGGTAGTGGTGGATAGGTTACAAGCCTAACCTTTATTATTTCTGTTTTGAACCAAGTACTAATATAGGACTCAAAACTTGTGTTTATCCTGCTTGATCTCCAAAGCTTTTACTATTGAACCAAGTAATGACCCCTCTTAAATCAAATCAAAAGAATTTAAAAATCTAGTAAATGACTTGGTAACAATCTTTCTATTCGTATGCTAATTTAGGCCAAAATAAGTTTAAAATGCCATCTAAATCAGACACATTTACAAACAAGAAAAATAAAAGAGGATAATAATGCATTACCTTATCCATGTTAGGAACAAGGTCTTGTAGCTTCTTCAATTTCCCACTTATTCTAGTTCTTCTCTCCTATTTTCAGAGTACAAAAGGATATAAATAGTAAATAGTGGAATTATAGACACACATATACACACAATAACAAATTAGTGCAAACTTTTATGCCTCATGCCAGTCAGAGCAAGTGCAAGTAACTCCGTAAGTGTAATTTAAGTGGGATCTGTCATTCCATATTAAAATTGCTCCATTGTCCTCACTCATAATACTGTAATCACTAGAACTGATGTTGTCTCTAGTAAATGTTGATCCTCTCAAAATTTAAGGCTAATTTGATTGGAGAACAGTAAAATAGATTTGCTCTGAGTCTTCTCACATTATGACCTGTTTTCTTTAATTTGAGTAATTGAATATATTAAAGAGATAAAAAAACATCAAATAAAGGGATTCAAATAAAATTAAATAAAAAAATTTCCAGAATACATTTTTCCTTAATTTTGTCTTATTTTATAGGTGAAGGAAGGTGGAAATCAGATAATTGCTTATTTAACATATTTTAAATAAGTAAGAGGACGAATACAATTGATGAATGGAATAAAAACAATTGACTCCATTTGTAAATGACATCTCATATAGGACCTTGTTTTACTTCTCTAACAGGACTACATAAAAAAAGAGAGAATTTATAAGATACCACCATTTTAGAATATAATTAATCATAAATCATTTGCTTGGTAGTCTAATTTTACAATATTCTGATCCTATTTTTTTTTTCTCTCTTTCCAAGTATGATACTAATTTTATCAAGTAACATCTCCAGAATTGACACACCTATTAACATATTTTAGAATGGAAGTCTTGCTAAAAAGAAAGAAAAGTTGAAAAAGAAAACAATGGATATGAATAAAATGATTGGGTAAAATCATCAGGATGCCCAACTGCGGCACGAGTGATATTTGTTGAAATTCTTACCCTTTCAGCAATGCTTCGCGGATGAGTCGCACAACCACGCTTGGCACGGGCTTTGCAAGCAACTGAGTCCTGAGGGATTTGTAGTAAGTTCTCCATTGAGGCCATCTCTACAGCTGTCTGCGGCAGGCTAAACTGAAACTGAAGAGGAAATTAGATATTAAGGACCAAATATATGTTAATGAATTTAAATACATGCTAAGAGAAATCAAAATAGACAGTCTACTTGCTTCCATAGAACATGCTCGTTTGACAGTTAAATGTAAATCTATACATATTCTTCCAAAAGAAGTTGTAAATTAAATGACTTGTGAAATAAAAGAACGTTAGAAAATAAAGTGAAAGAAAATATTCTCCACCCGAAAGAAGTCAAGGCCCAGTGATTTTAATAGTATGTCATACTAAAATCCTGACGCATTCTTCCGAAAATGTTTTTATTTGACTTGCCTATTGAAAGACTTTAAAGAGCAGATAATTTCTGAGATTGAAAGAGAGTATATGTTGAAATTAATCCATTCAAGTGTGGTCATTACTAATTTATTAAAGTTAACTAAACATAATCATTAGAAATTAGAAATTAGAAATGAAGAGATGTCTAAGCAAATGTGACAGAATGAGATAGTAATCATGCCTGCTAATACTTCTAAATATACTAAAACTTGCAACGCTTACATTTCAGTTTATATACAAATGATTTGTCTTCAGTTAGTGGGAATGCACAAAGGCAAAGCTTACATTTCCCTCCTAAATTCAGTTTCAATAAAATAAAAAAATTTATAATACCTGAGATTCTACAGTGCTGAGATTATTGACAATGTTGCTGCCAATGTTCTTAGCTCGTTTACTTGGTGGAGAGGAAAACATGATAGAATTAGCATCATCCCATGAGCCCATTCCAAAGCTAACGGTGGCATAAGAATGAGCAGCTTTTCTGTGGTCATTATCGGTATTCATTGCATCAACAATGTTCTCATTTTTTTCAGAGATCTGAGGAAGAGACTCGTTTCTGGTAAAGCTCAGTTGAGAGTTCAGCCTTGATATTCCACTGCCACCATCAGAGGGCATTCCCCTATTGAGTGAAAAACCTGTTTTCACATCCAAGATGACATACACCATAAAAGACAACAACAACAATCTCTTTGGCTAACCATCTGATCAATAATATCTCTCTAAAAGAAAAGAAAATTTCATCTGAGAAATAATGTAATATTTGTAAAGTTGCCTATACCATTTGGTGGAGGGTCAATGAGCTATCAAAATGACAATACTTTGGCCATTGGCTTAATTGTTGCCAGCCATTAAAAATGTTTTGATTCATTGGCTGAACCTAGATTGTCCATGCAACAAAGGTATTGCCAGATAACACTCCATAAGAAAGAAGGATCAGGTTTGATATTTCAACTCTCTTCCTTTTTCCCAATGATTTTTTTTTTTTTTGGTAATTAAATTCTTCCCAATGAACACTTTAAAGCCTTTTTCAATGTAATAATCTTCTCATGAGCACCTCCATTTTGGTAAAAGATACAATGCTCATATATGTGTGTGTGTGTGTGTGTGTGTGTGTGTCTGTAAGTATATACAAGACCATTAGCAATCTGGTCCTTGTTAATCAAAGGAAGTTTTGGCATTATTTGCACAAAGTGAATGCCCTCAAAGTCTCACATTTGGTAGTAAGCAATAATCTCTCACATTTGGTGGAGATAGTGAGAAGAGAGGTGGTAGTAACATTAGGGCTTTAATAGACATTTCAAATGCATTTTCTATGCTTGCAAGTATTAAACCCCAAGGAGTCGGCTTATATTACCCATATCAATAGCATTTATTTATAAATGCCCCCACACACACATATATGTTAAATATTGTCAATATTATTGGTAGAATAAGTATTATATTCATATACAAAATTACATATGAATGAGAAAAGGATTTCTTCAGTATAGTGGAGATGTATACATAGATATTTATGGATATATATTAGACCGTATAATATCAATACTTTACTTTACTATTTATATTTAATACTGTTATTCTTTTATTGATCCTTTGGTGATATTACTTTTATATTAATATTATATATTGGTAGGGGAACTACATTGTCAGTTGAAATTTTCAAAGCCCATTCTCGCTGTCAATCCATTATTTTTCTTTTCTGGTATAACATATACCTTTTTGGGAGAGTTAAACTAAGAATATATTAAAATTTACTCCTATATTTTGTGAACTTTTGGACCTGTTACACTATTAGCATGTGATTCCCACTTTCCTTTATTGTATAGGCTAGCCAATGGGGTTTCTCAAAACATTGGGCTGGTCTCCCAAGAAAGTGGGTCAGACTGACAAATAACAGTTAGAAAAACAGATCACGTGAGAGTCACGGGTCAAGCAATGGCAGAAACATCATCTAAATTATAAATTATAAAAGCGCACACACCACAAATGACCACCACCTATTTGTTGCTATTTATATATTATTTCTGGTGGAGTACATGCACCTATTTCCATTGGAAAAGTCAATTGATTCAAGGAATCTAGCCACATCACAAATAGTATAGTATATATTATCTCACTGGCTTAATTAAGCAAGTCATCTTTTTATTAACCAAGCTGGATCCAACTGCCAATAATTTCCCAAAAAAAAATTAACAAATCATTTTGCTCTCTTGTTGGTAGAGATGATTTTCCTTGACACCACATACTAGCACGAATAAGTGAGTTTGGGTTTGACTTAATTGTTTTCGGGTTGTAATCATGTCAATCCGAATTGACACACGAATAAAATGGGTCGTGATCGTGTTTAACATATCAGCCCGTTTATCATCCGATTAGACCCGTTTAACTAAACGTGTTAGTTAAACATGTCGTATTCGTGCTAAAAATAACTCATTAATTTATTAAGTAAATGTGTTGTATTTTTGTTAACAATGATTCGTTTAACTAAAGGTTTCATGCGAAATTTAACTAAAAGGCAAATGGATTGTGTGTTCGTGTTAGAAATGACTTATTTAATTAAAATTTTAATTAAACGTGTATCTTGACCCATTTATTAAATATGTTACGTGGGTCATGTCATGTTACCTGTTTAATAATGGTGACATGTTGGTATAAAGATTCTTTGATATGAATAATAATTGTACCATATTCGTATTTTTATTGAACCATATGACAGAATATCCATATGACACGAGTACATGGTAAAGACGAATTGTAACCCCTACCTTTTAGTCATGTATTATACACTGTTTTTATACCAATATTGCTTTTCATAAAAATAATAAATTTGATAAAGAAATCTTAGTAGAAAATACTAATATTATAAATGGGATGATTAGACTATCATGTAGAGCTTTCATGCATGGATGAGTCCCTAACTCTTAACCGAGGTTAATGGGAGACACTGTGTTTGGATGATTGTAAATTTTAAATCCCTTTGGAGCCCATCCCAATATTGGACGGGGGACTGCATATGTCTGATAATAGATTATGGAATGCTCTAAGAGAGGTCTATACCACTATCGACAACCAAGAAAAAAAAGAAGAGAAAAAAAATCAACATGTTCTTGATTGACTTAGTCCCGCTCCCTAAGCTAGGGCTGTGTTTATTTAGTAAGTCAACGAGTGAAGGTAAACGAACTGAGCTTAAATAATGGTGGATTTGTGTTGACTACGTGCCTTTTCTTATAGTATTGTAGAAGTCTACTATTTATTGGTAAATCAAAAATAAAATAATAATAAAAACATAACAAATTAAAAAGACAAAAAAACATAATAATATCCTTTTATTGGTAAATCAAAAAATAAAATAATAATAAAAACATAACAAATTAAAAAGACAGAAAACATAATAATATCCATTATAAATCAAATTAATATATTTCATGAATTAACTAATCAAGTCAACTTGCAAGCTGACAACTGAAGCTCAATTTGTACAACTGGAGCCGAATCTAAATGGGAACGAGTCCAAATACAACTTCTAGTTCAACTATACTAGATTCATAATATTCAATCCCATGACCAATTTTTACAAAATGCATGCTGAAACACGGGGAAGGAAAAAAAAAAAAAAAAATGAATTTCCTTCTAATGACGTGGCATAACCTTGTGTTTAAGTTACATTTATTATTTAATCATAATAACTATTACTGTATAAGACCCCGTGATTCTCTAGCCGAACAGATACATAAATGATGTGTGATCCATCACTCACATCATCATTTCTGTTCGGCTCCCGATTCAGCCAGAGATTCATTTTCCATAGAAAAAAAAATTACAAATTTACGATGAAGAACGTGTAACGTCCATATGTGATGGGTGTTCAAATCTCTGGAGAACAATTCTACCAAATTTTTTTTTAATAATTACTCGGTGTAAGCGGGACTGAACAGCTGCATGTGTGTGTGGTGGTAGATTATGAGGGGCCTACACCATCTGTAGTTGATTAAAAAATATATTATATATATCCCACGTGTGACCCAACAAAGCGTGACATTTCTGTCAATTCATGGTCCAACATTTCTATATCCAAAGTCAATACCTATCCGAGAGGGAACTCAAAGAGTAGTTTTTTCTCCTTTCTCACAAACTGTTGGCGCTTTAAAAACCACCATAAAAGAAGCAATTAAGATAGTGTGTGTGTGACAAAAAAAAAGATGGTGTGTGTGTGTGTGTATATATATGTGTGTGTATATATATATGTGTGTATATGTATAGAGAGAGAATAGTCCTTTTTGGGGGTTTCCAAATTTGGTCCTGGGGAAACCTGGAAGGAGTCACCCACGCGTTAACGTCTTTTTTGGTAGTCAAACAATGTGTGATTGGCTCCAAACCTTCCTTCCACCAAAAACCAACCACTTTGGAAGGCTTTCGCCCCACTCAACACATCATACACTACCCCCACAATGTCCCACAACCAAAACCCAAGTCCACTGATTATAGGGTCCCTACCCTTCCCAAAAGGGCAGTGAAGATCCATAACCAATCACCCTTCTAATCCCATATTTTTACCACCCACCAAAAACTGTGTATATATATATATAGTGTGTATATATAGTGGGGATAAAACAGTCATTTCAAAAAAAATCCCACCAGAAAGAAGTCATCCCAGAAAAAAGCTACTTTTTGGGACCGCGAAAGCACAGTTCTGAGCACAACATTCCCAATAGTAGTAGTAATTCCTAAAATCTGATTTTTCTTGAAGGATGGTAGCTAAAACAATCGCAGAAGTTATTTGGAAAAAAGGACTTCTTAGATAAGCAAAAGAAGTAAAGAAACATACCATTATCAGTGAGATGATTGAGGAAGCCAGCAGGAGAGCTACTGTGACGAACCAGAGATGAAGAAGAAGAGGAAGACCCAACTCCATTTTTCAAATTATTGACCGTTGCGAAATCCCCAACGGCTATATCATTCAAACCCAACGATCTCTGTAACCCCCTGGTGGAGACACCAGCTGGGTTTCCCTTGTTCTGCTCTTCCGGATCGCGTGGCGCGGAATCGGACGACGTGTCGGCGGAGAAGTAGCGGGAGCCCAGGAGTGATTGGGATCCGACTGCTGAGAATTCGCAGCTGGGTTGTCCGATGACTGAATCCACGGCTGTGGTTAGAAATGAACCTGGAGCTGAGCCGTAGCGGATCAGCCCACTCTGGCCCATTGAGCCCTGAGATGATGAAGAGGACGATGATGGGTACATGTCTTTTTGGGAGGAAGAAGAATCAGAGCAAATCCAGAACCAACTTTCTGTAAATAGAAATGTTTAAAGTAGAGAGAGAGAGGGCATAAAGGGAAAGAAGAAGTTCGTTTTTAAAGTGGATATTTGTTGACGAAAAGTGCTATTACTCAGAACTTGGTCATGTTGGGTCACATGTGGAATAACATTTTTTTCCCTCTTTTACCCTTCAACACTTCTTATAATTACTTTGTTATCATTTGTCACAATCTTCACTCCAATTATTTTGGTCAACAATGGTCCGAAGTTTGAGCGTTTCACATGCTCCTCCCATCTTTCCATTTGAAGATATGTTCAAGAGAAGAGAATGTTCCTTCCTTTTTTTTTTTACTATTATACCTACTAATTTTGCTTTTTTTGAATTATATATTTCCAAATTTTGAATTTGACCCACTTAAATTAAAAAAACCTCTACTATTCCCCGTCAACATTTTTTTGTTAAAGATCGTATCTTCTCGGATACTTTCCTGATCCATCTGTCCCTGAATTTTGAGGAGTGCAAATTTTTGGTACGGCAATGCAAGGGCAGGGGATTCAGCTGTGGGGAGGAATATGTTTGCAGTTAGAGACGATTGTCTTCAGCATCTTCACTTCAAGATTAATGATGGAAGAACACTCGGTTTGTTTTTAGACCCCGGGTTTCATGGCACCTCTCTTTTACAATCTTATGGCCTTAGAAGATTGTACAGTACAGCCCTCATCTTCCAAAAAATGCTGAGGCTATTACTTAATTAAAAAGGAAGCATGAGATTTTATAGAATGCTATTCCTTCATTGTTCAATCTTAGAAGAAGAGAGAGTTAGTCATTACACTAAGTCACATAACCGATGCCTCTTTAGCGCGCTTCGCACACGCTCTCGCCCTGGATGCCTCTTTAGCGCGCTTTGCACACACTCTCGCCCATATTTCCATTAGATTTTGCCGGACCCATTCTCACTCTCACTTTATGTGACTTAAATTTTACTATTTTCACGTTCCTGCTCCCGCTCCCGCATTATGTGACTTATTCCTTACATCTATTTGTCATAAGATTGTATGTAGGTTGGGTGAAGACTCAGTGGATCATCTTTTTTGGAGCCTTTCATCACGCTGTTTTTTCTTTCTTTCTTTGAGAATGTTTCGTTCGGCTTCTTGAAAGTTTATTCTCGAGTCTTTTTGGCGCTCTTTGTATTGTACCCTATTGCTGTGTTTTCTTGAATAAGACTACACATTCAGGAAGGAAAATAAAAAAAAAGACAAACAAAATGAATAGAAAGAAAATGAAAAAGAATGATTTGCCATTTGGACTAGAAATTGTTTTCTTTTTTACTTTAGTTTTTTCATTGAAAATGGTTTTTCTGAGAGGTTTCAATCACACACCAAAATCTTTATTGCTTCCAGTAAATCAAAATTGTGTCCAAATTTTTGGACAATATACTACACAATCTCATCGTATTTGAGTCTCTAATAATGCAAATATCTCACTGGTACATCCAAAGTATAAAAATACACGACGGTCATACTAACACGTGGGGGCTCCGATTGGAATAATATCTATAGAAATTTCTGCGGCATAACAAGCTCACACTTTGATCCATTACTACTAAAATGTGGCTGCCGCAGGTGATGGTCTGTATTACTTCCCTAGGCCCCCGAGTTTCTCCGAATTTTCTTATTCAGTTTGTCTTGCTGACGATATCTTTCCTGCCTTTCTTCTCTCTTGCGCTTTTTTGTAACCTGCTCTTCCTTTGCCTTCTCTGCTTCATGCAATTTCCTCTTCTCGCCTTCCTTGAGCTTACGTTTCTTAATCTGAAAGTGACAAACAGCAACTTAGCACTCGAAATTGATTTGCAATTTTGGATTGGTGGAAAGAGTCGATTAAAAACTATTCAACTGTAATGCACAACCCAAGAGAGAGAGATGTTGGGTTGGAAGTAGACACACATGTACTATTGAGCCAGCTCATGTTCATCAAGAATGGAAGTAGATACCCTAGCACTGCCGAGCCAGGTCAAGTTCAACAAAAATATAAAAATTTTGGATTTAAGTATCCGAGGGAGTTTAAGTCAAGATTGAGATCCAGACGATTTCAACCACTGAGTGTCAGCTCAGATCAATTCATTTGCTGCTTGTATTACGAAAGACAAAAAGTTGAATTTAAGCAGTGCCCTTATACACTAAATGGTGAACCCGCATATCAAATCAGTCCATCTAAACATGCTTAACTACAGCTGTACACAAGTATTTCAACAAGACCATTGAATCTAACAATATGCTATCTAGATCCTAAAGACAAAATAAAAACAGATCAATCAAACATTCAAACCACAGATCTATTCATGAAATCAGTGCCACCACCATCATCATTGCCTCATCCCGTATGAACAGGATCAGCGCCACATGGATTCTCAATTTCTAATCATTTCTATCCTATGCATAAAATCACCATATCCAGAAATAGATATTTTACCAGATCTTTCAGGAACCAACCAATATCTGGGGTATAAGCTTTGTTAATTTAGGATCCTAATACTAAGAACACAAATATCCACATATAAAGGTGTTTATATACGGGAAAGGATAAAAAAATTATTTACATTCCATTAAAGGGTGCTTTTGTATTTCAACCTGGTGGTACACTTCCATCGGTAATCAACGGCTAAAAAATGTAAATTTGAAACATACCCCCACCACATCATTCCCCCCACTCTCCCTAATGGGAAAATTGAAGACACTTTCAACTCTTCGGTGTGATTAATGAGTACAATAACTTAGCTGATCATCTGGTTTGAGCATAATTGGAATTAATAATAGATTTTGAGGCCTTCTTACAACTTGCACCACCTTCTTGTGGTTGCTGATGGAAAGGGGGTTTGCTTAAATTTTGAAGGTGCAATTTGGAGGTCAAAATCAAAGCCAAAAACAGACCAAGATCCTAAGCGGGGAAATAAGGGACTCATCAGTAGGGGCAATGCACCTATTGTGTCAAAACTCCCCTCTTTTGTTTGTGTGATCAGAGCTACCAATAATAGCAATAATTATACCAGTGCCTTCAGTGAATGGCTAAAACAAGCTATGGCTGAAAACTGGACTCCTAGGGTATTATACATATGTATATAAATTTCTATATAAAACCCAACTTTCAAAAGGTACATGTATGACAGCTTATTATGTTTCGTACGGAATGGAAAAACATACCTTCTCATTTCTAATCAACTGAAGGTGTTGAACAAGTGCATGGACCTTTCGCTCGTGAGGTTCCATGACTACAGCCCTTCGATCATCAAGAAGTGGCCGCCTATGACTGGGAATATCCTTGGGTTTTGAGGCAAAGGGGAGAGCTGCCTGCAGTGACTTCGGAATAACCAACGGGTTGAACTTCCTTACCTTTCTTTCAATTGGCTGTTAAATGAAGTAAAGAGGGAAACAAATAAAAAAGGATACCAAATCAGCGCCAAAGAAAAAAATAAAAATAAATAACTTTAGTGCTAATAAAAGCTCTAGCCTATTATGCCTCCTATATTACCTTGTAGAGTGAATCCTTGTTAACGGGAATGGGAAGATCGTGTTCCCTCCTCAATTCGGCTACGGTTTTCATTCCTTGCCAGGTCCGATCACGAGGTTGCAAGGCAGTTGTCAACGGGTTGAAGAAGTGAGGAACTTCAACTTGAGTCCATGCACGCAAGAAAACGATGTCACTCATCAGTATTCTATCCTCAAAGGTGCACCTAGCAATCCCTTCTTTAGGATGTCCTCCCTTCTTTTTTGGTTGGTTACCGATCTCCTCTTTTGCAGCCTGCCCAGATTAATGTCAGTGAAATGGATCAATTAAACCGTGATTCTTAAATTAAATATGAACCATTCATATTTCCAGTTATGACCACATTTCTTTTACGCTCACACAATCATTTATGGGCCTTATTCATTTTTATATAGAACAAGAATGTTTAATTGCAAAGTACAAACACAAGTAACAAGATACATGACAAGCAAATGCATCTAAACAGGATGTATTAGAAAGACAAAATATAGGTGGTATGGTCAAAAAACACACCTTCTTAACCTGCCCACGAATTCCACTGACTGTTCGAATGGCTGCACCTTCAAACCTGGCTATTTCAAGATCTGAAGTAAACATATCTTTGATAAGCGCCGTCTTCTTGAAGATCTTGCAGGGGTAACCAACTAGCTTGATTTTCTTCACTATTCGTGCTGCATGGTTAAATTCCAGTACAACTGCAGTCGCTGTTATCCTAAATGCTGCCTGGAAAACCAAGAAAAAAATTGCTCAGTGAGTGTACACATTCAAACACATGATGCAGAAAAATATAAATTCAAAACAAAAATAAATAACAAGAAGAAAAGTGGCGACTATACTTGACACACCCCAAAACTTAAAAACAAGAACACCTAGTCCTACATTTAAATCAGTGCATGACCTCAGTTCAACTTCCAAATTCATCCACCACAATATTAAATAAACCATGTCACCGACTAAAATATCATCAAATATAATCAAATTCTCAATAAACCAAAATAAATTAATAAAAATCTCGTCTCCATCACGTAGCTATCCTCACTACATAATCAATCATGCTAGATGCCTCTAAACTATCATATGCCTTCTCCACATGTCAATTCGATCTGTACTTGAAATGTTGGGAAAGAGGGGGGTGGGGGGTAAGCCCAGTAAAAACTATTCTAATTAATCGACAATAACCGCTAGATATAGCAGTTAAAATAATTAATTATTAGGTAAAGTGCAAAAAAAAAAAACCCTGTTATATACAAAATGTGCGAAAACCCCCTGATGGAAAAAAAACAAAAAATGAGTTTTCAAATTGAGAAAATAAGGACATGTTCTCAATTTAAAGATCGAAAAACCTAAAATGCCCTTAAGACAAAAATAAAAACAAAAAACAAAAACTCTCATTCTCACTTAAACATTGCAAGTGAGGAAACAGGTTCAGAACTTTTAGATTGACCTACTAAAAAAGAGAACTCTTCTCACTTAAAATAAAACTAAAACATTATTTGGGAAATTATGAGACATGAGTTCTCTTGCCACACATCCAATATAGTGTGATCATAACTCAACAGAACATCACATGTAAAAGCTAAATGACGATAAAATGTATAGATAAAATAATAAGAACAAATAATATAAAGTGAATTATTAAGTAGAAAGCGCATGACAATTAAAGAGGTTAAGGATAAGGGCCATACATTGAACTAAGTGCAATTCAAGTTCTTTAACATTTGCTGAAAAAAAAAATGTTATGGACAAAATTAATTATAATTAAAATCTGAATTGGACAGAATTATAATTTTTTAGGCTCTTCTAAATATTAAAATAAAATTCAATTTGACTATTTCCAAATTTTATAATAAATTATAATATTCAAGTTGGTGAGTTACAAAACAACCATAATTAACCAAGTATAGTTTCAGTCCTTAGAAAAAATCAACCCATGAGGAATTTGGCATCTTACTTCCCCTCTAAAAAAAGAAAAGAAAAGGAAAAGAAATAACTTCTTTAATTTGGTGAAGACCATTCTAATAAATAATAAAAAAGTAACTATAACAAACAAATTGATCTGTACTACCTGAAAGATTTTTTCCTCGATGATATTTTTTAAAAAATATGATTGGTAAGAGTCAAAAACTATTGAAATGAGAAGAGTTCCAACTAGTCCATTCTTAAAGAATGTATCAAGCACATAATTTGAGGAAATAAAGGAAGAAATATCAAACCTGATTGTTTGATAAACTTTGAACAGCGACTACTCCGGTGTTTGGAGGTGCAAGAGGTCCCCAAAACATGGCAAGACAATGCATGTGCTCTGGAGTATACTTGAGCATGCGATGGCGCCCATTTTGGTCCTCAATGGCATAAACAGGTGTAGTTTGGTAGCGCCTCCATCCAATAGAAACAATTATTGGATCTCTAGTCTTCAGAACTTTTTTGTGCCATCTATGCCGCTTCAACCGGACCTTGAAGGAAAGAAAACATGCCATAATGTTCAAGTGCTGGAGTTAAAAAGGTCATTTAAGAAAACTAATAATTACAAATATCAAACATTTTTAATGGAGCATATCTGTGTGTTACTTTTCAACCCATAATTAATGTGACCAAAGTATGATTTGCACTTCATAAGCGAACCGATGCCAAATCTAAATAACTAAACAAACTGACTTAGAATTTCGTGTTTATTATGTTAAGATGAAATGATCAGGAGTTGCATTACCAATATTCTAATTTTGGGTTTAGTTTTGCGTTGCTAAGTTTGAGGCAAATTAACAACTTTTCTCATATTTCATTCAAATGAATGCTTAATTGATAGTTTTCTTTCGTTTTTTTTGGTAATTTGATATTTTTCTAAATATCAAAGGACTAATATAGCATCTTTTACATAAAATAAAAAATTAAAAAAAAAAAAATGTCAGGAAATTGGTGTAGTTAAAAACAAAGGACTTTTAGCCACTTCTAGGTTTTTTAAGAAACAATATAAAGAAATTGAAGTTCTATGTATTTAAGATTTCTAAGCACAAATCATTTGCACCGAACTTGATATCTTTGAATAAACCATTGTCTTCTCTAATATAAAGAAACAGCCAAGTGTTTTGGTACACCTTCCATCACAATAATAAAGTCAGGACAACCATTTTTTAACAACCCATCCAATTTCTCTCATTATCATTGAATTTTGGATCAGTGACTCTAATTGTTAGGAAAGAATGCATCCACGAGAAATGAAAACAAGGAGGCAGCACAATTTAGAATGTGAACATACACAGTGGGACCTACTTTTTTTTTTTGATAAGTACAGTGGGACCTACTTAAAGAAGAAAAGCAGAACATTATATGCCACAGTAGTAATAAAATGCAAAAAAAACTGATGTGGAGAATTTTCTAACCTGCATATATCCAACACTTTCCTCCCCAAGTCCGATTCCTCCAACAAGAACAGGATGGCAGGGATCAAAATGGTCAACCATCTCAAAAGGAACATCATGAACCTCCAACCTTAGATAAGTCCCTGTTCTGTAGCCCTCTATATCTACCCGAGTGTCCTCATCAAGATCATTGAGTTCCGCAATATTAATTTGTTTCCGAAGTTCGATCTCCTCTTTTAACTACGAGAACCAGAATAAGCTGCTACTACTTTTTTCCAAAATGATAAACAAAACCATCCAGATATTGAAAGAAAAAATACCTTATCAAAAAATCCACTTTCATTAGCTTGAGTACGATGAAACTTGGAACCCTTTTTGTTATCAATATCCTCATCAGGTGATTCCGACCCATTATATGTATATCAGAATTAAGGATAAAAAGGGTGATTCAAATGTTTTTCCACAGATAAAAAGGAAGATATGACGAGACTAAAAGCAAAATAGTTTGCATGAAACCACAAAATAATATGCATGTCACGCATCGGATGATCAAATTTACTTAAAACACAACAATTTAACATTAATAGGTTTATGAACCAAAAATAAAACTCGGTCAGCTCTCTCTGCCGTACCCCAGTGAGAGAGAGAGAGACTATTAAAAAGAATGATGATAATATGTTTATTAAGTGAAGGATATTGTGCATCAAATTTCGCACGAAGAGCAAGCTTTTTTAGCCTCCGCTCTTCGACTGTTGAGTCATGATCCTTTTTGGGGATCACATCATCATCGCCGCCGCCACCCCGTTGGTGGCTGTCATACCTCTCACCTGTTTCTAAGTCTTCAAAATCACCAAAAGCATCATCATCATCATTACTGGAAGCTTCAGCCTCTTGACCTCTGCGTGCAGCCTTGGACCAATCCCCAGTTACAAAACGATCACGAATACTTTCAATAAACTTTTCGTTTTTGCAGTCTCTGACACTTGCATGATTTGTAAATTTAGAACAGTCCTCGGCATTGACATCATCCCCATCCATTCCATCTCTGGATTTCTGCAATAAATTAGACAAGGATAAGAATTAACAAAGCATAAGGTGTAAACATAAAAAGGATGAATTTTTATTGATAATCAAAAGGAATTTAAATTCTATTTTTTTAATTGTTAGGGGAAAAAAAAACTTCTCCTACTTGGAGAAAATAAGAAAACTTAAGAAATCAATTGCTTCAAGGACAAACCTTCTTTATCTCTCCTTTTGGCTTAAAGAATTCATCATCACTACTTTCTTCATCCCCACTACTACCCTGAACTTCATTGATAGAATTTGTAGAGACTGATCCAGATTTCCCATATACAAGTTGCATAAGATTAGTATTCTGTCTGGAAATAGTCCTTTCTACCAATGACTCCTTCCATTTTGAAGCATTTCCAATCTCATCCTCTGTAAAGGCAGTAAAAGGAGAAAGTATAATCAGTTTGGAATTTTCAAAACGAAATAAAAGCGATCAGATAAAGTGTCCCACCAAGACAAGATTTAAGTAGTCAGTTCGGAACATCAATTAATGCAATAATAAAGATTTTCATATGTTTTTGTTATCGATTTAGAAAGAACTTATGATAGGTACCTAGAGACTTAGTATGGAGGGTTTTAAAAACAAAAGAGTCATAAAGGGACATGTTGACGCAATAAAGGACATGTAGGACGGATGTGTGACAATAGTTAAGATGACCGTGGGAAAAACAAGTGAATTTCCAATTACATCAAGGGTCAGCGTGAAGCCCATATCTTCTTGCCTTATTTCTCGAGAAACACATACGGAATGGTATTCCATTTGGTATGTTATTTGTTACTAGTATTGTTTTAATTGATGAAACTAGAGGAGTAATGGCTAAATTGGAGATTCAGAGGAGGAACTTTAGAATTAAAAGGATTAAGACAAGTAAGAACAAAACTAAATATAGGAGTGTAACTTTAGTAAATCTAAAAATACAAATAGAAGTATAGTGAAGATTGAGGGGCAAGATGTACAAAAGGTGAATATTTCGGGTATTTAGACTCAATTATCCATAATGCGAGACAAATCGGAGATGATGTTAACTATAGAATACAGACAGGCTTGGTTAAATGGTAGAGGAACATCTAGCATTTTGTGTAATTGGTGTATTCCTTTAAGATTGAAAGGAAAATTTTACAAAACAACTATTAGACCAATTGTTCATTATTGGACAGAATTTTGGACAACAAAGAAACAACATATGCACATGCCATAAGGTGAGTTGGCCGAAATGCAAAAATGAGTCTATATACAATTTTGCAGCCATTTTTGTCTAAATAACACCAAAAATTAGAAGCCACTCCATCTCTCCTAACACCTTGCTTTAAGCATGATCAGAGGCAGTAAAGGTCATTCATCGGAAAAAGAAAAAAAGAATCAGCAAGAATAATTTGAACTTTCTTTATACCTATAACTGGCAAGTCATCTACACTACTTCATATATATGAACTGCTATTTTCCAACCAAAATATAATCTCCTTTACATACAAAAAAAATTCACAATGTACGAGAGAGTTTACCATCTTCGTCTTGATCCTCCCCATCCTCAACCGAAAAATCTGAATCAGAAGAAGATTTGTCATCAACATCATCACCATCTTCGTCTAAATCCTATTATCAAGTGAACAAAAAGAATGAGTACAGCAGAAACGTGGTAGTCCAAAATGCATAGTTTATAAATTGGGAAAAAAATAAATCTATAAACAGTTCAATTTAGTATGGTTTAGAGGGTAAACCATAAAAATAAAACAAAAAGTCCTGACGGTTCCCAAAAGATTGGAACTAAACCGAACCGATGGAACCATCTAATTTTCCAAACCAATAAGAACGGTTTGGATCAGCTTGGTTTCACAGCACACAAAAATTAACAACGTTAATCCTAAAATGAGTCTTAATCAACCAAATTTTATGCGCTCTTAAGCAAATTTGTAATATACCGACAAGAATTATAATACTATTCTATTAATATGTTTATGTTAATGATGTTAGAAATAGAAAAAATGATATAAGTTATATAACCTTAATTCAATGTGAAGCAAAGCTATGGCAAAAAATTTTACTAACCAATAAAACAAAAACAAATATCAATATGCATATGCAGGACTGCTTTGGTCTTTTCAACCTCGAAACCAAACCGATCCTAACATTTTCCACCAGTTTTGGTTACAAACTGAACCGCTAATCCATGGAATAGAACCAAACCACATGGTTCGGATTGGTTTGAATTGAATCCACGGTTTGAACAAATTTGTGGGCACCCTATCAAAGTTTCACTAGTATAAAAAATAAGATTGAGACCATGGTAGTGCAAAGCCTTAATAAACATAAAATTTTCAATCTAAAATTTACATTTTATACCCCACAAAGGGTTAGTATATATATATATATATATATATTTGTGTATATGTATGTATGTGTGTGTTCTGTCCAATTCCACACCTGAATCCCAAATTGAGTAGCTTGTATATGTGTGTGTGTGTGCAGTAACATTGTAACGTATGCTAAGTTGAGGAGAGAATTATGTTCAACCAATTTGAAGTCTTTCTTCTCAAAATAGTAAGAAATGGATATTGCAAAATGATTTGGAAGAGGGACTTCTTCTAATTGCCATTTTTGGTGTTTTGGGTTCTTTGTTGCCCCTAACCATTATATGCATGTTTACCTTTTAGGGAAAATTCGCTCCAATTCCCCTTCTCATTATACACAAATACCTTCATCGATAAAAGTGAGACGCTACCATACACCAAAACCAAAAACGAAACCAGATCAGAAAGGTTTTTTTTTTTTTTTTGATAAGTAAGATTTCATTAAAAAGGGTGGTTCACAGTTTCCTCTGTCCTCTTGCACATGCAACACCAATTAACCACGATCTGGCTTTTCTTCCTGAGATTGTCGAGAGTGAGAATGCTTCCATGAGCAGCACACCACTCAAAAAAGCCACCTTCAAGGGGGCTTTCAACCTCCAAATTGCCTTCCATGGGAAAGAGTGACCTGGAATTTCCACAAGACTACACACCCACAGAATCTCATCCATCCCATCCCCACCCACTCCACAAACAACCCACCTGGAACCATCTGGTTGTAGAGCAAAGCTAAAACTGCACATCCCAAGTCACCCTCCTGCATTCTAGACTACTGAAGTCCCGAGAAATCTATAATTACAATCCCACCAAAAGTGATTTATAATTACATGCACAATATCATGTAAAATGAATATCAAATTTTGACTGCTATTTAGTATCGCAATAAATCTGATTGGTCGGTGAGTAAAATCAAGAGTAGTGGAACTAAAAGATGCACAAATACCACAAATATTATTAAAATAAAATAAAATAGAACCCCTAATGTTTCAAAATCACACTCGTGTTCTTTAATAGTGCATGTCAGCATTCATGTTCACATAAATTAAAAAGAACTGGCTAGAGAAAACTAGGAAACAGTTCTTTGCACTGAATCCACACCCTTTCAAGTTTCAACTGAAAAAAGGATAAACAAAAATAAAAATAAAATAATAATAATAAATAAATAACGGAGAGTTGCGTCCACATTACCTCCAAATCATCATGATCAATGACATTTTCGAAGATAGCTTTTCTCCTCATCCTTCCGTCATGAAGCTCAAGATGTTCCTTTACGTTTTTTTCAGAAGGATGCCGCTGGGTTGATGCACTGCCATTTTCTTCATCAGAAGCATTATCAGCAGGTTTTACTGTTAGATTCTTAGGATGAGTGTCATCTTCATCTGAAGATTCTAAACCATCTAGATCCTTATCCTCACTTTCTTCATCAGACCCATCCGTTTTATATTCTTCCTCAGATTGATAGTGCTTTACAGGCTCTACACCATCAATCTGATTACCAAAATCATAACCACCCTTCTCAGCATTTGAATCTTCGGATAAGTTGTTAGGCTTCTTGCTGAAAAGGGTGATAAAACTTTTTTCTAATTTCTCATCAATAGAATATTTGGTGTTCTGGAGCGATTTCACTAAAACCTCCCCTACGTCACGGTCTTTTCCTGGAATAGACGATGCAACCACATTAGTAGAAACAAGATGAAAGCCATTAAAAGAAGTTGAATGCCATGAGATATTAACAATTTGTCACATTCAGTATTCAAATCAGTATTATCAATCAGAAAATAATGAAATATAGCTGAATATAATAGATGAAATAAGTAATATTTCTAATAAATAAGAATAATAAGAACAATTTACTTTCCGGAAAAAAAGAACAATTTTAAGAGAGATGCTACAAGAGTACAAGTTGATATATAAGCCCAATCATAGATTCTTTATTCACAAAATAAGATGCAATAAATATATATAATGAGTTTGAAATATTTACTCGTCTTTCCATCATTGTCATCAACTTTAGAAAACTGCACGAAATGGTCATTTATGTTTATGTAGACAGCGTCCTTGTCATACAACAGGTCACCAAGTCCAGACATAGGCGCATAAAATAGCCTCTCCTTGTCCCGCAGTCCTTTCTTTTTGGCAGCCGAAGGTAAAGGGCAAGGATCTGCTAAGCTTGTAATGCCAGCTGAACTGTAATCACCCACGCCAGCAATATGCACCTGGTAGAAACTGCACTCTTAGATCACACCCGTGGGACATAACCAATAAAGGCACATAACAGAGCAAACATAGTTTCAAGAAGTCTCAAACATGAAAGAGAGGAATTGCCTCAACAATAAGCCATCAGTACAAGTTACTTCAGCTACTTTAAAATAAAGCAGACCCAAAAGGAAAAACAAAATGATAAAAATAAAATAATTTTACTATTTTTTTTTTTTTCCTGAATATAATTTTACTATTTAAATTAAACTGGAACCAGTTACAACAATGAAAACAAGCCATATACAGTAGTTATCAGTGCAATATGTTTATTTGACATTTCTTTAAATAAATAAAACAAAGAAATTAGGATACAGTTAAGGAAGAAGATAGTGCACAGGTTAAAAGCCTAGTTCTACAAAATTTGGAAACTGAAGTTACAGGGAATAAAAAATGAAGAAACAACACAACTCCACAAGAAGAAAAGAACAAAACACCACCAACAAATGTCAGGATGGATAAAAATGCCCACAAAGCAATTGTCATGTAAATGCCCCACTTTCAACTAACATATCATCAGCCTGATTGGCTTCCGTAGGAACCCAACTATCTGCCCAAATTGCAAAAACAAATCCATCATGTCTCCCACTAAACTTACATACCAACAAGGCCAAAGATTTTGTCTATTCCACAGCCCACCACAAATTAGTGTCACCTTCAATGCAAGAATGACAAAACCCTCATTCCAAAACATTTTGGAGAAAATGAGAAGCTTTTTGTTTTCTGAAAACTTTTTAAAGAAGAAGAAGAAATCAAGGAAATCCTTAATATTTTGTAAATATATTCAAATTACTTATGACACCCATTAAAGCAATGTTCAATCAAACAAATCAAGTAGAGTTCATTTCTCAGAGGACCATTGCTGGGGTGACCTTCCTTCAAAAGAAAGTTTTTATTCAAGTTCTAGAAACTGAAAGGGTCACAAATTGCAAATTGTGTTAGTCCAATCAAATTACACTAGATTCTGGAATTTAATTTCCCTCAGAACTTCAAAGAGTTGGAAACCAATCAGCCTTCTTGTCTACTCTATTGTTTAGATGATGTCTTCCTATCTCCCTCCATTGATGATTGTTAGTAGAGCGCGTGGAATAGTGGAAACTTCTAATAAATCTTACTTTCAGTTCTTTTTTACTCCAACCTTCTTCCTAACTCCAATTAGCATAATTAGGAAAACCAAAAATCATAGTTGGGTGGAATATGTTTGCCGATTCAGTCTTCATTCAGCATATTATAATGTGTCAATCTTTTAAGGGAATTGCTAACTGCCTAACTCAAACCATCACAAGAACCATAAAGTTCATAGAAATGCATAAGAAATTAACAATACTTGTAACGACCCACTCCACCACATGGTATGATATTCTCCGTTTTGGGCTGAACCCGCACGGTTTTGCTCTTAGGCTTTACCCCAAAAGGCCTCATACCAATTGGAGTGACACACCTACATATAAGTACTTCGCCTTTCCCTTTCCCTTTCCCAAGCGATGTGGGATTGTGCACCCGTCGCTCGCCAGTGTGGTAGCCTGTCAGTGTCTCGCACCCGCCCACGGCACACCCGCCCACAGGGTCATCACAATCCACCCCCCTTGGAGGCCTGACGTCCCCGTCGGCACACTTCCGGCTAGGTCAGGATCTGATACCATTTGTAACGACCAACTCCACCACATGGTATGATATTGTCCGCTTTGGGCCTAAACCCGCACGGTTTTGCTCTTGGGCTTTACCCCAAAAGACCTCATACCAATTAGAGTGACACACCTACATATAAGCACTTCACCTTTCCCCTTCCCAGGCGATGTGGGATTGTGCACCCGTACCTCGCCAATATGGTAGCCTGTCAGTGTCTCGCACCCCGCCCACGGCACATCTGCCCACAGGGTTATCACAATCCACCCCCTTTGGAGGCCCGACGTCCCTGTCAGCACACTTCCGACTGGGTCAGGCTCTGATATCATTTGTAACGACCGACTTCACCACATGGCATGACATTGTCCTCTTTGAGCCTGAGCCCGCACGGTTTTGCTCTTGGGCTTTATCCCAAAAGGCCTCATGCCAATTGGAGTGACACACCTATATATAAGCACTTCACCTTTCCCTTTCCCAGGCGATGTAGGATTGTGTACCCGTATCTCGCCTGTGTGGTAGCCCGTCAGTGTCTCGCACCCGCCAACGGCATACCCGCCATAGGGTCATCACAATACTCGTCCATCAATATAATATCACCCATCTGATAAACTTGCATAGTTCAAAACTGAAGGAGCAGATGATTAAAAGTTGAAAATGAAAAGAAAACAGTTACATGATCAATGGAAGGTTTCCCAAAGTAAAGCCATTAGGTTGTTATTAAGTAAAAACCATTTCTATCTCTCTATGATAGCACACTCCCAAATTATTTTAAAAAAAAAAAAAAAAAACAATTTTTATTGTTAGTGGAGGAGATGGTATGGATCGGGTAGCTCCTGCCCTACCGATGCATCCATTAAAAAGAAAGGGATCAACATGATAACTTCCTTAGGTTACCTTCTACCAGTACCCAACCAGCTTGTTATGGAGTTCTGATGGGATTTACTGTATTAGTGATGTAATTGTTGCACCCATTGGTAGAGTGAACCCTGGCATTGAATTAAATCCTTTAAAATGTGTGTGTGTGTGGAGAGAGAGAGAAAGGGGGGGGGGGGGGGGGGGGGGGGGGGGGGGGTGTTTGTTCTCATTATATGATGTGCTCTACACATCAGACATGTATCATTTATCGGGTGAAAGAAAAGAAAACCCTACTTTGTATATAATTAACATGATTTCCAAATGGTTAAAAGATTGCCTACATCACCCTTTAGTATACTACCATATCTCAAAAAAGAAAAGGAAACAGCAATACAAGTAGAACACTAAAAAGAATAATTCTTAGGCCCTTCCTAAACCCTCATTTAGCTTGATCCTTCTGTTTTCTGGGTTAAAAATGATTTGTTCACAACAATAGTTACAAAACAACTGGAAGCTGAGAAAAATTCTTTAAACAAACATTCAAAAGGTTACCAAAAATGAGATATAAAGAGAACGTGGAATACCATTCACAATCAACCCTCCAACTGAGGATCAAGGACCTCATCCTTTCCTCCAGAATATTTTTACCATTCTCACCAACTTAGAAATTCAGAAAGGAGTACTAAAATTTGAAGGGTTAGATATACGTGCCTTAGATCCTTTTTTTAAATTACAGCCACGCAGATACCCGTAGAAAGTGACATTTCTATCACACTTATTATTCATATGCACCCTTTCTGGAGGTGTAACATCTTCAAATCGATCTACCAAGATGTAAGGATGAGAAGCTCGCCAAGACAAAGGATGAAATTTCATAACAGAGATGAACCTTGCAAGATTGTGAACCTCACGTTTAGGATACCTGTTCATTTAGAAAATGGATGATAAATTTAATAAGATTCCTGTCAAGATATTAGTCGAATTCAAAAACACATACCAGCAGACATACAAAGCAAAAACAATGTCAGATACTTACTTCCCATGAATAAGACCTGATAAATAGAATAGTTTTGCTCCATCATATATTTCAGTCCAGAATCGATGTTTGAGCCTCTGCTTTGTTTTTCTAAGTTTCTTTACATCCTTAAACTTATCCAAGTGTGTAAGAACTCCCATGATCTTTGGGAATCCATGAACTTGCAATATATTAAGAAACTCGAAGGTTTCCTGCAAAAGAAGAAGGCCCCATTACACGAGGGAGGGAGGGAGGGAGGGAGAAATTCCACACATATTATAAGACCCCAAAAAAATGACTTAGAAAGCCAAACAGAATGTGGGTAACACAAATTAGTAAATCTCTAGAAAGCAGAACCATGAGTGTGCAATGATGGAAAAAAAAAAATTAAAGACATTCATGATTGAGACAATGGCAGTTGATGCACGAGCAGTTGGCTACATAAAACCTATAGACCTTGAATTATAACTATCAGGAATATTAATAATTTACCAACGACTAGAAATTTAAAAACCATGTGGACTTGTGCGTAATTTTACAATGCAACAAATTCAATTGTTACTGATGGCTCAAAACACTTTTTCCTTAGGCAGATAAGAAATAGTAAAAGATTTTAAATAAATCATATAGGTCCCAAAATGAAGGCCATTACCCAGTATTCGCCCTCATGAGTCAAGACTATTAAGAAAGATGAATTGGATACAGGTCTAACATTTGACATTATCATCTTAAAAAATATATATACATATAAAAAATATATATATATATATATATATGTATATATATAGATAGATATATTCCCAACCTGGTTTGCAACTTTCCATTAATCGAACGTACTAAAAGGGTGAACTATTTACGATCTAGCATTTAAAAATATTTGCAAAACTTGAACCTGCTTTTCATGCACGATAACCCACTCATTCACCATTATACTGATAAATCATACTCGCAATAATCTAAATATCCATAGATACTCTTGTTTTCTAGAATCTAAATGCACCTACAAGATATTTTTAATGGTAAAATGAATGCTGAAAATCAATTATAAATAACAATAGAACCTCACCATTTCAAAACCATAACTACCATCAATGAGAAGCAATGCTAAATCAGCAAACTTTGCAGCATCAATCATGCCATTGATATCATTTGGGCACTCTACAAATTGTAGCCGCCTTTGCTTACCTAACAAAAAATTGATCAAGCATTTACGTCTCAGCAAATGCAACTCCAAACAAACAACATGAACAGGAAATTATATCAGTCTGATAGTGCTTAAAGCTAATTGGAAAGGAATTGCATATTAAACCTGACACAATAGTAATAGGGCCTCGAACTTCTGTTAGATTATGCTTAGTGTAATGCTTCACAAGGGTCTTTATGAGAAGAGACTTCCCAACCTAAAGTGCAGCAACAAATTTGGTTTAGCCTTGTCATTGGTAATTAGGCTACCGACCTTAAAGACCACAATGACAATTACCTTGGGAGGCCCATGTACTAAAACAACATATGGAGCAGGTTCTCCTGTGGAGCGATCGATAGTAGGGACATGAAGCCTACGCTGCTCTTTCTCTGTAGAACGTGATTGTAAACGCTTGGCTTTCACAGTTGAACTAAAAGCAAATGCCTGCCATACAATACACAGATTACTAGGAAATAATACAAAACATACATAGAGTACGAATAATGAAAATGTGATGATTGGGCCAGCAACAATGATGCCAAAGAACGGCAAATATAAAAAAAGAACCTTGGGGTTGTGCTTTTTCTCATCCGAAACGCCACGCTTCTTCTTGTCAGATTTTGCCTTTTTGTTAGCAGAAGGACCAGATTGACGAAATCTGTGGGACTTCTGAGACAGTTCTTTCATACCACTATCTATGGCCATTGAAGTAACTTATAAGCATACCCAGGATACACTACCTGCAAAATATATTGATTGACAAAAGAAAATGTAAGACAAGAAGCTGGTTAAAAAGTACACAGAGAGAAAGCACACAACTGAATACCCCAAATTGTGAAAACCCCATAATTTCATAGAAATATAATATAGATATCTGTATAGGGACTAATAGCCAATTAATTGGTGTTCAGGCGTGATCTTTAAAGCTTGTGAAAACTCAATTGAGCCATTTAGATCTAAATGGAAGAGGCAAGGACATACCGCGTCTATCAAGTACTCCAAACTCACAGCTATTCACTATTCCTGTTTCTACTAATTTTCCCCAACATTACACTAATGCCACTTTTGGTACATGGCACTGAATGGAGAAAGGAACGTAAAGGTAATGCTGCAAGAATCAGAATGGAATGATCACTCCTCTTATATTGTTTGGTTGTAGACACGGAATGATCACTCACATTCAGTGTTTGATTAGACCAGTTTGACTAGAATGAGTTTAAATTTGATTTATCCAAATTACACCAGCCTACAATAAATAAATTAATTAAATTATCAGGATGGCATGTATATTTATATCATCTTGAGATAAAAATAAACTGGATTTTAGGGCGTTCAAGAATTAATACTTCCTCTCTCCCTCTCTTCATCTTGACCATGGTAAAAATTCAATAATCACACCTAATGAGGGGTTCAAATGGATAAAATTAAAATGAGAGAGGATTTGTGTAACAAATTCTAAGGATACCCCTGCTTCACTGACCATTTCAAAGTCAGCGAAACAATAGCATGTGCTTCTCATAAAACCTGATCCCAACATCAGTGATGAAGGGATCAATTACAGCTATTCACTATTCCTGGTTTTTTTTTTTTTTTAAACTTGGACGTCTAAAAATAAAATATAAATAAATAAAAAAAATTGGCAAGAAAAGATGATAACATAGCTCAATGATTGATATATATATATATATATATATATATATATTAAAGTAAAAGTTTATATAAAAGATATACCTTTTTGTTATGGTTGGAGTAGAAATTTTCCGCAACCTTCGTGTAGGCAGATGGTGAATGAGAGTTACTAATAAATTAGTAAGAAGTTGAATTAGAACGGGGTTCATATTATATGTAAATTCAATAGAAAGGAGTTCATATTGTATGTAAATTCTTTAATAAAAATGATTTTAAAATTTTAAATTTTTTGAAAATGTATGAAAATAGGAAAACTGCCTTACAAGTTTATAATAGTATAGATATAGATATATACATGCAGCCGTGTTATATATATATATATATATATAAGTTGCTTACACTGAGTTAAAAATTATTCCGTGACAAAGGGATCCATTAGAACCAAACTGGATCACAAACAACTGAAAATTGAACCCAAGAACCTTCCAAATCCGAAAACCACAACCTATATAATACACACATGCACAAAGCACATATAAACATGAACTGACACCTTCAAACTCAAATAAATCATCACCGAATCCATATAATACATGATTAATTATCAAAAAGAATTCCAAAATCACAAAAACCAGTAACTTGTATATACACCTATACATAAGCATACTGCATCAAACATAATATATCATTATACATGTATTGCAAAATCCAAAATTTAACTTCAAGCCAATTTCCAACACAAATAAGCTTCAAATCACGCAAAATTAGCAATAATGTATCGGGAAAAATCCAAAAAATTCAAGAAAAACTGAAACAGGATAAAAGAAGTTTTTTTACATACTAACCTTGCTAATGGAAGCTTTAATCCACTCGAGTAAGTTTGAAATAGTGTTTGCTTCGAGCCTTGGCTTAGAATCGACTCAAAATCGCCTTAGAAAGAATTTAGGGGTTTGTGTTGAAGTGATCGAGTATAAGAAGTCCTCCAAATTGATCGCAGACGAGAAGCCCTTCGACGTCGTCGTCGTCGCCGACTCGCCGTCGTCTATCTGCTGGTTGATGAGCCCTCTGTTGGTGTGTATACTGGTTTGGGACAGAACAGGTAATGAGCGGGTAAGGGTTTTAGATTTTAGAGTGATAAAAAGACATAATTGTTGTAGTAAGCAATAAATGAACGTGGAATGGACCCAAGCAAAGCCCACCAATTGTTTTGGGCCACACGATAGAAGCCCACATGTTCAGAACGATGTAACTGGGGGGAAGTTAGGGCTGATATGAGATGTAGTTAATATGGGCTTGTAAGTTGTGCTTAGACTTTTTTTATTTATTTGGTCTTTATTCTATTTTATTTTAAAATGGTTGATTAGATTGGGTTTGGATGGGCTAAAGGGGTTTTGTTGTACATATTTCTTGGTCTAAAGTTATGAATAGTGGGCCAACTTCTTTAAGGTACAAGGCACGGATGTGTGTGTGTATATATATATATATATATATATATATATATGCACATATAGAAAGGAGAGAGGTGTTTTTGGAAAGGGGATAGGTGGGTTTGTTCCCCGTTTGGATAAAATCAGGACTATATATATCTATATATAATCACGAGCTTTGTTCACAAATATGTTCATGAACTAATGAATCTGAGTTCAGGATTATTTGAGATTAACATTTATTAAATAAATGAACGTGAATTGGACTATTATCGAGTCGAATCATTTGTCAAACTTTAATTTAGTTAGTGTCGTAATTGAGGTCAAGATTGAAAAAAAAAACACCTTATATATACACACATGCACATGACAAGGAATGCTTACTCGTATATGTAGATGGAGGATTGGATGGCCAACATGAATGATAATGTTGAACCAAAAACATTAGACCTTATATATACACACATGCACATGACAAGGAATGCTTACTCGTAAATGTAGATGGAGGATTGGATGGCCAACATGAATGATAATGTTGAACCAAAAACATTAAACAATATGGCCACGATGTGACCAATAGTTTGTGCTTTTACTCATAAATTTTAATTTTGTCATCATATGCCGAGGATGTCTCACCCATTTGTGTATTAACAGACATCCAAGTGTATATACACACATAAAAGATAGAGATTGTAATTGGATGGATTGGATTGAGAATCCAAGCAAGTTTTAAAAATAAATAAATAAATTGGGTATATGAATATATATGTTGGTGTAATATTAATTAATTATTCCTTGTCCTTGTTCAACAAATTATTGATTAATCAAATTATTATAGTATTGGTTTTCAACATCAGAATTCGAAATAAGAAAATTGTGTTCCATGGCACCACATATTGTAAAGAAATCTATAGTTGATCACAAAAGGGAGAGACTAAAATTTTTAGTCTGTTTTTGGGTATATGGCTAAGGATACATTTATTATCAAAATAAGGAGATTACATGATACTGATCTTGCATTTAATTTGCAAATTGTGAAAAGACAAATCTACCCTTATTTTTAAAATTCATTTTAAACTAAAATATTAACAAATTAAAAAGACAATATTGCCCTCAATAGTTTCTCTCTCTAAAATGTGTGCGCATAATATATATATGTACATACAAATAGGCCCGGTGGCCTTGCAGCAACGACGGCAACGGAACTGCTCCAAAGATGATGAAGACCAGCAACGATTCCGACTAGGTTTTATCTGAAATGATCATTCCCACAAACAAACCCAAATCGACATCAACACCGTCAAAATTGCAGTCGATGGGGCCACTACCACCATCCCCAACCCCCACAGTCGGCAACCAAATTTCCCTGTTTCTCAACCACAAACAACCACCGGCCACTACCAAACCTAGAGGTTGTGATTGAACGACATCTCTTCTCCAACGCCATCGCCACCTCGGACCTCTGGTATCAGATCCCCGACGATGATGCCTTCACCTTCTTCTCTCTTTGCGACGACTATTGGTGATGGGTTGGGATCATGTGGGCAGCGGCGGCGATGGCTGATGTTTGTGTGTGTGAGCGGCGGCGGCGGAGGCGGCGATGGCTGATGTTTGTGTGGGTTGCGGCGGCGGATGTCTGTGTATGTATATATATGTCTGCGTCACTGCGTGTAATGTGTGTGTGTGTGTATATATATATATATATGTCTCGTATCGGTCTGGAATTGAATGAATAAATGGATTCAATTCAAAAAAGGAGTTAACTGACTTGCCGGATTTGACTCTTTGACTTATGGCTCATGGAATTGAAAATGGTGTGAGATGATAGATTGAAGCTAGAGCTAGCGAGAAGATTGCCTCAAAAACGAAGTTTCTTCGAGCAATTTCTGTTGACCATCTCATCCACTTAAGAAGTGCAGCCCAAACAATCCCTTCACTTATTTAAGTCAAGCCCGTATCCAGACCTTTCTTAGGAATATGGATGAGCAATCTTGTTTAATATGATTAGGTTCGCGGTTCAAGCATGTAATAGAATCAGGAGATCAGAAGTGGAATCAGCAGCACAACAAAGAAAATAATGGCACAGAAAATGCGTCTGTGTATCTGAATTTATAACTTTTTAAGGGTATTTTAGTCTTTTAATTTAATTCTTTAAGCTACAAGATTGGTTTGACAAATTCAAAGGTTATTAAGTCATTTTACATGGTTTCAGAACTATTTAACTAACGGTTGGATTGTTAATGAAAAACGGAGTAAAAATTTGTAACGTGAGTGATAATTATTGAGTGATAGTTATTTTTGAAAAATATTTGACAGTGATATTTGACCAAATCTAAAGGTGTCAGTGAAATTAACCATTAATTCTATAATCTATATTTATAAAAAAGTCTACAATACTTCGGCCGGATACGGTACCCGAATGCCTATTAACCATTAAATCATCGATTAGGTGTGTCCCACTAGGGCCACTACCATATTCAACAAGTGGAATCTTGAGTAATCCATTATTGTAGACTTTCTCCTATATATATATATATATATATATATTATTAATTAATAATATACTAAAAGTGTAAAAAATTCTCATTAAAGCACATAAATAAAATTAACTACTAATAAAAAGAATAAATTCTCTTCGACACCATGCCACATATGATTCATGAGTGATCTTTCTCTGTATCGTTACACACATAAATAAGCATATTTTATACTACTTATAAGAAGTGTGTATATTATTTTATTATTTCTATACATTCTCAGCAATTTTGAGTAACACAATATTTCTTAGAAGGTAAAAACAAAGAGTTAATAGGAGCATATGGGAAACTAGAATGCATTAGTCCCACGTTTGAGTACATTAATGAGTTTTTTTTTTCTTTTTTCTTTTACCAAGAATGTATTAAAATTAGGCATTCAAACCATTTTAATTGCCTTCAATGGTAGAAAAAGTAAATAAATAAATAAAAATTGGGCAACCGTAACCACAATGCATTATTCCAATGGTAGTGTACATTAATTCCAAAAAAAGCAAAATCAATATTTTTTTTTTTTTTTTTTTTGACAATGAGTTATTTTTCTCTTTTATTAAGAATGTATTAAAATTAGGCATTCAAAGCATTTTAAGCCCTTCAATAGTAGAATAAGAAAAGTTTCAAAATTCACAAATTGATTTTAACAGTTTCCACAATGCATATTAATCCCACGTCTGAGTACTATAATATTTTTTATTTTATTTTTTGGCAATGAGTTTTTTTTCTTTCCCTTTATTAAAAGTATTAAAATTAGGCATTCAAACCATTTAATTGTCGCTCAAGATAGAAAAATCACTTTATTATTTATTTATTTATTTTTACCTCATGGCACACTAAACTTTTAACAATGCACTTAGCAATGTCTCCTTTTGTACAAATATGAATTTTTTTTTTTCTATTTTTTTTTCCCTTCCTAACACTGTTTAATTTATTTGCATTTTTGCTTTGCCAAAAGGTTTTGGAGGTATCCATTGACGAAATTTCCACAGCTAGTTTCTTATGATTTTCTACAACAAATACCTAGGAAGCTTTAAGAAAAGGGCTAATTGCAAAAATTTCCCTCAACTATCACTCAGTTACAAGAAACTTCCCTTATGAATATTTTAACAAAAAACTCCCCTAAGTATCATGAGGGAGTCATTTTAACTGACTTCCTTTTAAGTGATTGTGTGAGAAATTTTTTGGGACCAAATTACCCCTTAATAGAATATTCTTTAAAAAAATTATTTATTTTTCTCTTTCTCTTCATTTTCTCTCTCTCTCAAGCAAGCCTTCTCAAAATTTAGATAATTTATAATCAACCTTTTTGAAAGTTTGGTGCTGTTTAAAGGACTTAGATAACATTTTTTTTTTTTTTTAACCTGGCAAAAGAACAGCCAAAGCGGCACTTACACATGCAAGGAATACACATACAAAACACTACAACAAAGAACCACAAACACAATCAAAACAAAGCTAACCCCAAGACAAACCCAATACTAAGCTAGGTCACTACAGCAGTCATGATAACAACCTAAAGCTTAAAAGGTGTGTGGAGTTATTGAGTTAGAAGTGACAGAATAACCTAAAAGTCAGCCGGATGCGACTGACATGGTTGGAAATAAAGTGGCCACTTAACCCAAAAGAGCATCTAATAGTTAGATCAAAAGAGGAAGCGTAAGTGATACTCTTAACTACCCCAGCCACACAAACCATAAGGATATTGAAAAACCCCACATGGATAATCGTACCAAAGAGCAAATACAATGTCACCGCGAAACACATATCTCAAAGACGCATGTGCCCTTGGCCCACGAACAGCCAAAATAAGGCTTCCAAAGAAAGCTTCCAACACGTCAGCCATGACATCACACCCACCCCCAATCGACAAAGTGAACACCGACCATATGAGCCGACAAACCAATGGTTCCAAAGCCATGGACAAAGATCCACAGTATCCGTGAAATCCTAGAGAGGGAACAAAACGATCATCGGCATTCCCCAAAGGCAACACCATAGCCACCCCAAAGAAAAGACACAAGACCCATGTTCCAGATGCAAAATCCACTTTTGTGGCAAGCTCCGATGAATCCCCCCTAATTAGATCCGGCACTAAAAGAAAGCATGATCGCTGATCGAATCCCAAAATATAAACTAGATCGCTGATCGAATCCCAAAATAT